TGTGTCTAGATGATCTATCCATTTCTGTAAGTGGGGTGTTAAAGTCCCCTGCAATTACCACATTCTTCTCAATAAGGTTGCTTATGTTTATGAGTAATTGTTTTATATATTTGGGCGCTCCGGTATTCGGCGCATAGACATTGATAATTGTTAGCTCTTCCTGATGGATAGACCCTGTCACTATTATATAATGTCCTTCTTCATCTCTTGTTACAGCCTTTAATTTAAAGTCTAGTTTGTCTGATATAAGTATGGCTACTCCAGCTTTCTTTTGGCTTCCAGTAGCATGATAAGTAGTTCTCCATCCCCTCACTCTCAATCTAAAGGTGTCCTCAGGTCTAAAATGAGTCTCTTGTAGACAGCAAATAGATGGGTCTTGTTTTTTTATCCATTCTGATACCCTATGTCTTTTGGTTGGCGCATTTAATCCATTTACATTCAGTGTTATTATAGAAAGATATGGGTTTAGAGTCATTGTGATGTCTGTATGTTTTATGTTTGTAGTGATGTCTCTGGTACTTTGTCTCACAGGGTCCCCCTTAGGATCTCTTGTAGGGCTGGTTTAGTGGTGACAAATTCCTTCAGTTTTTGTTTGTTTGGGAAGACCTTTATCTCTCCTTCTATTCTAAATGACAGACTTGCTGGATAAAGGATACTCGGCTGCATATTTTTTCTGTCTAGCACACTGAAAATCTCGTGCCAATTCTTTCTGGCCTGCCAAGTTTCAAAAGAGAGATCAGTCACGAGTCTTATAGGTCTCCCTTTATATGTGAGGGCACGTTTACCCCTTGCTGCTTTCAGAATTTTCTCTTTATCCTTGTATTTTGCCAGTTTCACCATGATATGTCGTGCAGAAGATCGATTCAAGTTACGTCTGAAGGGAGTTCTCTGTGCCTCTTGGATTTCAATGCCTTTTTCCTTCCCCACTTCAGGGAAGTTCTCAGCTATTATTTCTTCAAGTACCCCTTCAGCACCTTTCTCTCTCTCTTCGTCCTCTGGGATACCAATTATGCGTATATTATTTCTTTTTAGTGTATCACTTAGTTCTCTAATTTTCCCCTCATACTCCTGGATTTTTTTATCTCTCTTTTTCTCAGCTTCCTTTTTTTCCATAACTTTATCTTCTAGTTCACCTATTCTCTCCTCTGCCTCTTCAATCCGAGCCGTGGTGGTTTCCATTTTGTTATGCATTTCGTTTAAAGCGTTTTTCAGCTCCTCGTGACTGTTCCTTAGTCCCTTGATCTCTGTAGCAAGAGATTCTCTGCTGTCAGCTATACTGTTTTCAAGCCCAGCGATAAATTTTATGACTATTATTCTAAATTCACTTTCTGTTATATTATTTAAATCCTTTTTGATCAGCTCATTTACTGTTGTTATTTCCTGGAGATTCTTCTGAGGGGAATTCTTCCGCTTGGTCATTTTGGATAGTCCCTGGCGTGGTGAGGACCTGCAGGGCACTTCCCCTGTGCTGTGGTGTATAACTGGAGTTGGTGGGCAGAGCCGCAGTCAGACCTGATGTCTGCCCCCAGCCCACCGCTGGGGCCACAGTCAGACTGGTGTGTGCCTTCTCTTCCCCTCTCCTAGGGGCGGGATTCACTGTGGGGTGGGGTGGCCTGTCTGGGCTACTTGCACACTGCCAGGCTTGTGATGCTGGGGATCTGGCGTCTTAGCTGGGGTGGGTAGGCAAGGTGCACGGGGGCAGGAGGGGCAGGCTTAGCTTGCTTCTCCTTAGGTGATCCACTTCAGGAGGGGCCCTGTGGCAGCAGGAGGGAGTCAGATCCACTGCCGGAGGTTTGGCTCCGCAGAAGCGCAGAGTTGGGTGTTTGTGAGGAGTGAGCAAGTTCCCTGGCAGGAACTGGTTCTCTTTGGGATTTTGGCTGGGGGATGGGCAGGGGAGATGGCACTGGCGAGCGCCTTTGTTCCCCACCAAACTGAGTTCTGTCATCAGGGGGGCTCAGCAGCTTTCCTTCCCTTTGTCCTCCAGCCTTCCCGCTTTCTGAGCAGAGCTGTTAACTTATGACCTCCCAGACGCTAAGTCGCGCTTGCTGTCGGAACACAGTCCGTCAGGCCCCTCCGCTTTTTGCTAGCCAGACTCGGGGGCTCTGCTTGGCCGGCGAGCCGCCCCTCTGCCCCGGCTCCCGCCCGCCGGTCCGTGGAGCGCGCACCGCCTCGCCGCCCTTCCTACCCCCTTCCGTGGGCCTCTCATCTGCGCTTGGCTCCGGCGACTCCGTTCTGCAAGAGGCTGCATTTCTAACAAGATCCCAGGTGATGCTGATGCTGCTGGTCTAGACAGCACACTTCTGACAGCCAGTAAATTAGACCACTGGTGTGAAGGTGCTCACACCTTTTCATTCCAACGCAAAGCAGACTTACCTTGGGAAGCTCCAGATGCTGCACGTTTGTGAATGAACAGAGGTCCACAGGTGCCTCAGAAGTAGTCACACTTGGTTCGGCCTGACACAGGGAAAGAACGGCAAAATAGACAACCGAGTGTTATGTATTTTTGCTTAATAAGGGCCACTTCATCAAAACTGTTTCACATATTAGAATTCGTTATTATTCTAACATTTCATGACGTTTATGAACATTAGACTCTCTTCAAAATACTAAGAAGGCGTGATTAGACAGCAATTGTTTTAGACCACAAAGCAATTGTTTTAGGCACAAAGCGGCTCTCAAGACTGCCTGCGTTTCCTCTCAGTGAAATCTAACAGCGACCCAGCTACCAAGTGGCAAAACTCGCTTTTTAAACACAGAACATGTGGGGCGCCTGGGTGGCGCAGTCGGTTAAGCTTCCGACTTCAACCAGGTCACGATCTCGAGGTCCGGGAGTTCGAGCCCCGCGTCAGGCTCTGGGCTGATGGCTGATGGCTCAGAGCCTGGAGCCTGTTTCTAATTCTGTGTCTCCCTCTCTCTCTGCCCCTCCCCCGTTCATGCTCTGTCTCTGTCCCAAAAATAAATAAACGTTGAAAAAAAAAAAAATTAAACACAGAACACGAGCAGAGGCGCCATTTACTCCTTTTCACTCTGTTAGTCATCAAGCGAATTTGGGAGCTATTAAACGTTTTACTTGAAAATTATTAAAACATTCCATTTTCCTAAGGGATATATGCAGCACCATTCACATGAAAAGAAAATTTTCTCCTTTCTAATCTTGAGAAATCACTCGCTCGGTGCACCACTGTGAATGACTGCCCAGTTCACCAGAACGAGCGGCCTGCATCAGGTACCAACGCGCTCAGTGTTTGTACGCTCCTTTAGGGGACAGTGTTTCCATATCTGCACCTTCTTCCACCACGATCATCACGGCTTCTCTCATTTTATGCTCTTCATTCTCTATGCCTCCTTTCACTCATCCTAAACAATATTGGAAGCTTTACCACATCAGAACTCCCACCAAAAACTCCAAATTCTAGACTCACCATCTGGCCACTGCCTTCTCTTTCCTAATTTTTTAGCCACCATTTGCTCTCTCAAAAAACACCAGTAACCACCTGGCTACCAGGTCCAATGGACTCTCTTTAGTCATCTCCTCATTTGACCTCTTTGCCACACTCAAGACTGGAGAATGCACCCTTTGGCTGCTATGCAACATGCCCGCTGGTCCTTCCTCATTACCTCTGAGCACTCTTTGTTAGGCTTCCTCCTTATTGCTATTAAATAATTCTGACCTTGGCCTTCTTCTTGTTTCTAAGTGTTTTCTGCACATAAGAGCATCAGCTCCTGTGGCTAACAAATGACAAATCTGCATCTAAGGGAATTCCTCTCTAAACTCTAGACCCAGTGTCCCCATGTACACTTCTCCCGGGCTCTTCAACAGGCACTTCGTTCTCAAGCAGCCTCAAATAGAATGTTTTCCACTTTTACAGCTATCTGCTTTTTAATATTCTTTTTGGTAAAAGTCAGCCATCCACCAAGTCACCAAGTGAGCCAACCCAAACCTTGCTACATCTTGTCTGTGTCCTTCACCAGCCCATTTCCAGCCCCCAAAGCAGCACCAGACACAAGGCAGATACTCAGCAAGTACTTGTTGGACAAACAGATCGTCAACCACTCACTGTTCCTCACTGAGTACATTTAGTCAGGGATAAGGTGACACTAAGGTGGATCCTAAACTTCTGAAACTTCTGACATAACCATTTCTTTCTTTTCTTCTTCTTCTTCTTCCTCCCCCTCCTTTCCCCCCTCCTCCTCCTCTTAAGTTTATCATCTCTTCCCTGCAACCTCTGATTTTTCTCTGTGCCATTTCCAAAGAAGTATTTCAAAATACAATTCTTACTGAGGTCCCCAAGGCCTCAAAGACAAAGTTTCCATCGTGAGTCCCATGGTCTGACCCTATCTCCTCTCTCTCAGTGACCCTTTCCTCACCGGGAACCCGCTCCCCCGCTCCCACTATTCAGTGATGCCCTGTGATTTACATTCCTTGCATCAGCCAGAGTCCACACGCCATTCCTCAGTGCATGCCCTCAGTTTGGAAGGTTTTTGCCCCCCCCACATCTTCTACTTCCGACATACACTTCATGTGTCACTTCCCCTAGGGGGTCATTGTCTCTCTCCAGAAGGAGACTTGACAACTTTTTCTACTTTCGTTATTCCCCATGCAGACGCCACTAGTGGCCTCCACATAAGCAGTGTGCCTATTTACAGGAGTGTTTCTTGTACTAGGCTATAAACTCCTTGGGGGCCAATACCCAATACAGAAAATACATACCTCCTTATTCTGAGAATTCTCTGAGGTAGAAGGCAAAGGTTCTACTGTATTTCCAGGACATACAGCCATCTGACTCACCGCATCTTTATTTCTAAAAGAAAGAGTATTGACCTATCATAGCATAATGATTCATATTATATTCATTCTTTTACTTGAGGACTCAGAAGGATTATTAGAGAAAATTCTGCAACCTCAAAGACTTTGGACTATAACACTCATACATTTATAAATGTCTTATTTTCATTCAAAAGAACTCTGAATTGAAAGCCTAATCAAAAATACTTAGTAAACCAGAAAAAGAAAGTGCTTACCTGATAAAAATTATTTTTACTTTAGAAGGGGCACATTTAATGATTGAAGAAGCATTCTGATGACTTCTTCCATATAAAATTTGACCATTGATCTATGAGAAACAAATAGCATTAATTGAGCCTGAAATTTTAATTTTGCTCATTTCTTATCACCTTATCTAGCTAATATACAGGTCATTTTTTTTCTTCCTATAAAATATTATATGTATGTCTCTTCCAAGAACACGAACCTAACTCTGAAGGAGAGTAAAGAAAAGCTCATGTTTGAAGCTGACGTTACGATGACGTGTGTGTAGTGTGATCCCCATAGACAACAGAGGCAGCACTTGGACTGTAAAAAAAAAAGCACAGCAAGCTTCCTGGAGGGCACTGGAGTTCCAGCATGTTCTGTCAAAGCAAGGGCTCTCCTGGAAGCACTAGTGACCTCCGCAGATCATCAAGGGAAGTCCCTGTGGTCGCAGATCTTAGTTAGTCTCAAGAATCAGGCCCTGGGATTGGCCGCTGGGAGAAGCACTCCGGCAGACCAGGGATTTGGGAAGCAGAACATGCCCAAGCAGAACAGAACCTAATGGAAACTTCCCGTCATCTAGTCACTTAGCCCCTGCTGACTGAGCCTTGCTGGCCAAGGGAGAAGCACAGGAGTGCAGGGAAGAGTATTAAGGCAATATAAAGACACGTGGATCCCAGTCTCCAGGAGGCCAGGACAAACAAAACAAGCACATGTGATTCTAAACACTATAAAATCTGGTCCAGAAATTTATTTGGTTTGGAGGGCTGAGTTATTGTTTTTGTTATTTAGCCTTAACCTTGACCCCACCTCACCCGACCCCTATCGCTTCTACCATTAGGAATTCAACTTCCAGAACGTCCAGTGGGTCAATCTCATTACTAAGGAGTGATTGGTCGTTTGGCTTTTCAAAAGCTCCTAATAAAAATGCAGCACACAAAAAAATGTTTTTGAAGTGTGATCTTTATTACTGTCTTGGGGCAAAAATTGTTTCTGGTGTGACACAGTCACAACCTTTTAATGGAAGTTAATGGGAACATGGACTCTACTTAGCAGAGATTTGGTTTAGAGCCAAACTTGCTGCAGCACATCTATTTTATTAGGCAAGCAACAGTTTTCTCAGTCACCATATGAGGCCCGGGTGGATTTTCTGGAAACTGATGACTCCAGTGCACCAATTCAGCAATGAATTCAGCATTTTCCATTAAGAATTTACCTCTAGAAGCTCGTCTGCAATCTGCAGTCGACCATCTTTCCCAGCTGCTCCATTTGGATCGATCCCCACTATAAAGACACTCATCCTGGATCGGTCTTTGTTTCCAGCAAGACTTAGACCCAAACCACTACGACCTTTCTCCAGTTCAATCATATGGAGCTCTCCTGTTAGGGTTCCATAACGCTCTCTGATATTTTCTACGCACAACAAAACAACAACAACAACAAATTATAGGTTAATTCACAGCCAGATGTTTTACTATGGAGGGTCATCTGGCTTCAAAAGAGCATTACTTGGACCAAAATGTAAATCCTTGGCAGTTAAGGAAAGCTAAGAAAAATCTGGTCCCCTAGGCGTCAAGACTGGGTTCCTGGAGTACCCAAACTCTGAGGAATTTCTTTGCATCTAGTGTGCAGACAGTATCATGTCTAATTAATCAGTTTATCTGGGTGATCAGGCCCAAGAGATTCATTATTAACCAACTCTCAAAAGACTGGTTAAAACAAAGCACTAGTTTATCATTCACAGAGAAGAGAACATTCTTCTCAGTGAAGGATTTATCTTCACTGATCAGTGGAGACATCTCTCCCATAGAAAAACTGGCCTATGTGTGTCACACCATGTTGGGCAGCTGCTTGGTACATACACCCAGAATAAAGAGGATGCATTGTCTTATTGCACAGAGCCATTAGGCCAGGACAAATCAATGTACCCGTCTCAGATTTAGGACCCATGTCTTCACTAGATGAGACCATTCAACTCTCCCATCCCACATGTTCAAGAGGTACAATTTATTCTTGAATCTGAGAGGGCAAGGCTACATGGAGGTGCCCTAGGCCACAGGCCCAGATGAACAACCAGCCAGGAGCCAACACAGATTTCTAGCCATGCGAGTGAGCTACCCTTAAGGCCCAGGCCAGCTGAGCCCAGTCGACCACAACACCACAACACAGTAATAAACTGTTTCCTTAAGCCCTTAAGTATTGGGGTAGCTTGTGACATGATATTCCCTTTCATGTTTTCTTCAGAGTATATTCTGGCCACCTCAACGGATTAGCAATATACTCTTATTTTATTGAAAACAGACTTAGAAAACTGCAAACTTTACAAATCTTCTCTTAGAAAATGTTACTACACAGCTGATGTCTTGCATTCCATATTGATTCTTACCTGCGCCAACTTCATAAACTGCCATTTCCTGATTCCTTCTAGAATCCAGCGGCACAGAGTTTATACCCTGTGCTTCCTAAAAGCATATACCACGGCTTTCTTAAAGGAATTATATTTTTTAAAACAGAACTTCTTAAAGCACTGATACATGAGTAACTTTTCACTAAATGTTTAATATTTCCTTATGAAAAGGCTTCTTTCATTAGAAAAACAGACACCCCAATGATCCTAAGAATAGCTGCCTTTGAATGCTTCCTGTGCTTCAGACATTGTGGTTTGCACTCCTCAGACATTATCAAATTTGATGTTAGCAACCTGAGGTGAGGACTGAATTTTCAAAAGAGATATAGCCACTGGGCAAAAACTTAGAGGCAGTTAAACAACTTGCCAAAGGCCCCAAGTTTTTATCTCAACACATACTACGCTACCACCCTAGGCAAGACAATACCAGAGTTCAAGGCAAAATATGAACAGCAACCAGACTTTACAATGAGGAATGTGAGGTCTGGAGAGGGGCAATGACTTGTTCAAGACCACAAGGTGGCGGATCCTGTACTAGGTTCTGAGAGAGTGCCCTGCCCTCTTTAATGCTCATACAAATGGCAAAATGGGCTTAGCAGGAACGTTCGGTTAGAGGAAAGGAAGAATATGATTTCATGCTTTGGGAATGTGGACTGTATCCAGGCAAAACAAACAGTATTTTTTCCAAACAAAATTGCAGTATATATAACTAAAGCTGAAACATACTTATCCACCCAGGGCATAAGCCTTGAGAAACCCAGAGCTACTTTAATGTCGCTATTATAACTGAATGCATCACAAAAGACAACTTACTCCAGCTGTAACCAAACTCATCCTCTTTGTCCACATCTTCTGAGACTTTGCTTGTGGATGACTGTGTATGATCGCTGCTCATTTCTTTAGACGCTGAAGAAGGGGGTGGAGGCACATTGCACAATGGAGCCTTTTCCGGCTCTGATTCTGACTGACTGGGTGCCTGCGGGAACAAGAAGAATACAGTGGGTATGTGCAGTCTAAGGAAGACCAACCTAAGTAAAAGAAATAAAAGTATAATGTCAAAAACGGGCTTTAAAATATCTAACACACATATAATCAAAAAATGTATATACAATGGTAGACAGGATTCAGGTAAAGTTTAAATATAGTAAAAAATAGCATAATATATAATAAAAAAGTATAATTCATTAAACTATTTGGTATTTTAGGCCAATGATTTTTTTCAATTTGAAGGCTTAAATGACAAGATAGAAAAAAACTGTGCAAACTTCCCCTTTTGGAAAAAAATTCTCATTGAAAAGTTTTCATAAATATGCAGGGGTCTAGGCGAGATTTTGTGTGTCTAGAAAAGTCTTCCAAGAAATTGGAAAAAAAAAATGAACAAATAAGTTAATCAAACAATGAAAGGCGTTCAAAGGCTGGCAGTCAGACTATATATAAAGAATTCTTCATCGCTACCTGAATCCTCTCTCCAAATAACTCTCTTAACAAACCCATGAAAATGAGCATTACACATGCAGGCTCATCTACCAGGGGAGCTGGTTTGTTAGCACAGAGCGCACAGACTCAGATCTGAGGAGCAGGTTTTAAGGGACGGCCCCATCATTCCCTTGCCAAGGGAGTTCACAAGGTAAGTGAGAAAACACAAGAGACCACTTCATACAAACCCAGAGTACGGCATACTTGCTGTCACTTGGGGCTATCGGTCCTACTTCAAAAAAAGGGCTTGATATCAAGCTCTTATATTGCAGATTATCAAATAGAATATTAGAGTTGGAAAGGCCTATAAGTCACTGAGCTCATTTTACTCATTTTGCAGATGAAAGACCTGAGGCCATGAGATGATGTTGTTCAAAATCACACCGGTACTAGATTTCTTTTAGTTCTTAATCCAATGCACTTTCCATTATGCCATGCTGTCTCCTCCAACTTCCATAGTTAGTACCTAATCCAACGCTCAGAGATACCCACTTAAAGTTCTAACCATGGTATGAAGCTGTCCCTGATGCCTTGAATCAACATTTTTCCTATTCTTATTTTACCTTTTTTTCATACAAAAATCCCTCTGATATACCTCATTTCATATGTGTGGATCTGGAAAAAGATTTTGATGAAAAAAAAAAAAACTTCCTATAGAACACATCAGATGATAAGCATGCACAAATAGTTAGAAATTGTTAACTCGTGTCAAGAACCAGAATACTACAAAATACACCTAATACTACAACTACATAGCACTGAAGGTGATCTTTCTTTGTTGATTCAGAAACCACGTTAGGATGCTAAGCTGCCCCAAAATGAACCTAATAAATATCAATTACTATTTTTCTGGCAAAGTAACAGAGAGCTCATTGGTAGAGACTTATAGGCAATAGATTTTCAAGTGACAGAATCTACGGTGTTCAAATGTTTGGTTTACACACAGCTGGCCACCCAGACAAAAACTACCACTGCAAACAAAACCCTTGTTATCTTCCCAAATACTGTGCCATAAAACCGTCAAATCAACAACGTACAAATAAAAATGTCCAACAAACAAACAAGGTTCATTTAACATACTAAGGCAGGGGCGGCAGGGGAGGCAGGGAGTGGGGGAGGGGGGAGTATGGAATTTACTTTTTTTGTTAAAATAAAAACAACTTCTCTATAACAAGAGAGAATATTAGCAAGTATTGGTTAAGCCCATTTGGTTTTTAAAAAGGGGGACAAAATCTGATTTAAATTTCCCATAATTTTAATAAATTTATGGATGCAAACGTTATAGATCTTGCTGCATATCTTTCCTGAGCTGTTATTTTACTTAAAAATAACAAAATCTGCCTAAAAAACTGTTTAGGAACTGACTTAGGCACACCATTTTCATACCGTGAGTAAACTATAATGGTGGGTCCTCACATTACTGACTCATCATAAAGGGAATACAAGCCTGTTATTTATATTTACTAAAGGGGCAAGCGATTAGGTGTTCTATTTTACTACTCCCGAACACGCTCCTTCTGAATGAGATCATGTAATTAGCTTGTGGTTGACACTTAAGATTTATTAACGAAAATACAATTCTTTAACAGAGATTGTTTAGCCTCCATTGGCAAAAAATGCAAAGTGCACTTGAGATCACTCCATGCCATGTATGCACACAAGTGTAACACACACATAGCACACGGTAACACACCTACTTACTCATGAAAATTTCACACTGAGACAAACCTTAAATGGTGTGGGAGCAAAAGGGTTAGTTGGGGAACAACGGAAGATAACTCTACTTGAATTCTGTAATTCCTATAGTAACAGAAAACATATTCCTTCAGATACAACATCTTTGGTTATCCATATTACAATAACATGAAAACCCAATGAATATTCATAAAATGCTTCCTGAAACTGTTGAGAGCTTTCTTCCTTATCATGATCAAATTATCATATAGAGATTCTTGTAAGTAAGTTTTTGTTTCAATTCTGGGTTTATAATTTCATCGGAATATGAGACTATCCAAGTATAGGTTTACAAGCATTGAAACAGGGGCATGTTTCCTCATTCAGGCATTTATATGGACACACTTTATGAATATTCAACATACTCCTGCATACACACAATTATTTGTGGAGTGATTAACTTACAGAAGGGCTTTTTTAGGACCACCTTGTAGAAGTCTGAGAAGGATTTAAATCAATACAAGGCTTTAAATAAATTATGTGTGAAAGTACTTCATACATTTGGCAACTAACAAAAATTCAAGTATCAGAAAATTTAACTCACACCAAAATATAGGAAAGGCACTGGACTCACGATTCTCCCTTACTGTTCAGAAGGGCCATCTAATTTCAGCTATAAAAATGAATATGCTCTGGCAAAAAAAAATGTGCTTATGAAAGGATCTGCATGCCCACTCCAAACACACAGTTTTGCTTTTTTTTTTTCCCTGCCCCAATTTAGTAAACAGTGAACTAGGACAAAGGCACAACAAAGAACGAAACATTTGCAAAAGGCAACGAATGGCAAGACAATGGCATTATCCAACCTTGTCAGCGTTGAACTGAAGAGAATCAGCAAATGGGTTAGTGCTGCTGAAGTTGTACTTAGGGTAAAGGTTGTGCGGCAAGGAAGACAAAGGGGATTTCTAAAAGGAAACATAAGAGGCGCTGAGCGCAAAAGAAATATATTTAAAACAACTCAAGTTTTAAGAACAAAGTACTGATTTAAATAACAGTGTGAAATTACTAGATCCAGTCAGATCTAGTCATTAAGAGCAACATCCTATTAAACAGTCTAGAACTAAAGGTTAACCTCTAGCGATCTGGATCTACACCTCGACCTAAATCTGGCCACGAACTATGTAGGATATGAGTTGGTGAAACTGATACCACATTTCTTTTATTTTCACTGTCACAGACAGATGCACATACACGTTGCCCAATCTATATATTCATGTATGTCCCATGCATACCAGTAAACAGGTTTCAAGACGAAAACCATAAATGTTTTTTGTTTACGTTTAAAAGCAAAGTATGCTTCTATTGTAAAACAAAAAAGAAACAGTCTATCTGCTGCAGAATGCAAATTAAACATTTGTCTGCTAGTTCACTGGTAACCTTCATGATTCTTTTATCTTGTTTCCCAGGAAGGAAAATTTTCAAACTTAGATTGGATATTAAGGTTACATCAGGTCAATAGGATTTTTCCCTTTAAAAAGGGAAATCAACAATTTTAAATAAATGAACCACCCTACAGTGGTGTTCTTTATTTCTGCCCTTTTCTTTTTTTTTTTTTTTTGTGGAGGTAGAAACATTGATTTTTCAAGTTTCCTATAAAAGTTCCCATATGAGAGGGAATTTATGAGGCTATGCATATACTGAAGTCCTGCCTTAGAGTGTTTCTCACAGATTTTGTGGCTTGCTTGAGATACTCCCTGAGCTAGGACTACTGGAGTTGAATATATGTATTAAAGGCAGGATGACTGCCAGATAGAATTTAGCATTTTCATAGTTTAAAAAAAATGAAAGTAATTTCCTTAGCACAATAAATTCTTCTCCTTCTTTTCATACCCGCTATCTTCTTCTTTTATTGACTGTATCTTTCAGGGGAAATTGCAGACATTTAAAATTCATTTTGGCTCCAATTAAATGTTTGTGTTACTTCTGTCTATAAAAAAGCCCTACTGGCAAGCATCAAGAGTAGGGAGAGGTTGTCATGTGACGCCACCCTGTACGGGAGAATACTCTGGAAAGGCTCTATCCTCAGTACGCCTGTACTAAAGCTTATGCCACATTACCCTTTCAATCTGCTCTTCCTGCAATGTTTTTCCTACAGAGGGAAGATGGGAAAAAGAAATGGGCACAATGACATTTCTGCTCATCTCAACTTTCTCTCTGCTTTTCAGTTTAAATGTCAACTCCTGCTTTACAAAAGAAAAGATCACGAATGCCAAGGAACGCGACCGTTTATTAAGGGTGGGAGAAATGACTAGGCAGAGATTAAAATCATATTCTAGGCAAAATAATTCCATGCTATGGAAGGTGGAAATTATTTCTGATCCTCATACATGGAATTTTTGGGTTTTAAAGTTCCTTTATAATTCTATAGAATAATAAAAAAAACATAATGGTAAGAAATGGAATATTTAATGAGAGCTCTCCTTTCCTGTTTTGCTTTTTTTTTTTTTTTTTTAATTTGCAGCTCCTACATAGGATTAGAATTTGGCCCTGATAGCAGAGTATAAAGTACAGCATGAGTACAGCAAATGGAGTGGTAGATCTATTACTATGAAGAGATTTATAGGAACAGGCCATATTCTTTATTAAAAAATCAATGATAAAACTTCTACTTATAGTTCGAAGGGCTGATAAAAATGAAAATGTCATTAACTAAGACAAAGCATAGGAAAGACAAAACCATTCTCTAGTCCATATTAATAGGGTCTGTCCACCCTTTGGTATGACCACGTGGTCCAACGGATGGAACTGTCAGTAATAATAAGTACAGAATATATTATTAATTATCAAGAGGATTATTATCATCATTCTCAGTTCTGGGAAATTCTGATTCTTGAATAGTCTAGGTGCCAAAGAGATTGACTATCTTTTCATCCTATGTACAGGATTTTTTTGAAGTTTTATTGTATCTACAAAGAAAACATTTTCCATTAAGAGAGTCTTCTGTATTGGTGATTTTTTTTTCCCTTTAGATTACTGGAAACATGATTATTTCCACAAGGAAGTAAACCACTGAAAATAGACCTCATTTTAAATGCAAAAGTGATTCTGATTTCCCAAAGCTGAATGCGTATGAAGAGGAGGAAAAATATCTTTCCCCTATTCATCTGAAGTTCTCAGCTCGATCTCTGTAATAAAAAATGGGATTAACAAGAGAAAAGTACTTATGTTGATTTAATGTTAACTTTCACATGACACATGATCTGAATGACACAGAGCCTTCATTAGATAATGAAGAACTGAAGCAATAGTTAGACTTGAGGTTTTTTACAGGAGGTTTGCTTAAGAGTGGAAAGTCATGGAAAATATGATGGGACAAAAGTATGAACACAGTGGGGAAACTGAGGAAAACTTAGGAAGGTCTCTTCGTTCAGATTCTTCCCAGTGTCCCTCTGTCTTTGGAGGCAGGGATGTTCCTTTCCTCCAGGTATGGGGAGGGCGCCTCTCAGAGGAAGGTTTTAGGACCTGCATCAGGGGAGAAGGGGGAGGTCTGAGCCCTTCGAGCACCTGCCTTTTCCTAAATTCCTTTGGCTTAAAATATTCAGTATTCTCTATTTTGGGGTAGCATACTCTGAATCCTGTCACACATAACTTGACTAAACATGTCACTCTAAGAAAGATTTATCCTGGAGTAACTGCTATAAAATCAAGAGTCAGTATACCTCAGATAATAAAATAGCGGTATTATCCAGGTGTATGAGAAAATATCTTCCCAGCTCATTAGAAACTGTGACCAGCATTGAAAGAAATGTCTGCAGTTTAAGTTTTTAAAACTAATATGAAGAATCCTATTCAGCAGTTTATAGTACTGTCCTGCATGATATGCAACTTGGAAATTAAAAATAAAACAAAGGAATAAAACCTACCCACGTACAAAAAAAAAATGGTTTTAACTTAAACAGCCATTTGCCAACATCATCATTCTGTATCTACATTGGACAGGACAAATGGAAACAAATGTGGAAAGATTTGTAGTTATTTAAACAAACTGAATACCATTTGAAGAGAATTGCAGCATGGTGCAGCCCTACCATTTGGCAGATTTTCTCATCTGAATGGGCAATTATTACCTAACAATAAACAACGGAATGATTAAAAACTGCAGATGTGAAGATAACTGCTCACATGAAGAATGACTAAATTCATTTCTTACAGTAAACCCAGACCAGAGCTACACCTGTCTTGACAACAGAAGGACCGACAGGATAAATCTGGTCACTTTGAATTCCACTGCACAGAATACTGGCGAGTCACTTTTGCTGACCTCATCTACGGAGCTGCCTGCTACTCTCTTTCCATCATTTGAGCACTGATTTCTTGTATTCTTGATTTTAAAGTTATAAAATAATTACCTATTTTAAGTTTTAGAAGGTTCTTTTAACTTCCCTCACATATGTTGACATTTTTCTTTTAAATAAAGCTAATTAATGAGCAGGTATCTGAAAGACAACCAGTATGGCAGGGTCTTTTTGTGTTTTGTTTTCTTTTTACTAAAATCCAGAAGTTAGAACCTCTGTGAACTTCAGAACATTTAGGAAGCTCCTGCAATGATACGCAAACTTTTCAGTGAATGTGTATGGCTCTGAAGAACTTTCCAAGGGGTATGGTTAAGAACTGCTGCACATGAAAATAAGCTTTTTCAGTGAGACCTAAAGAAGGGACAGCTAAAAAAAACAGTTGTAAACTCTTGGCATTGTTTTCCTCTTCGGAATCGTTAGGGCATATCAAATCCACAAAGCCTTGCTTCGTCTCTTCTCCATCAACAACATTCATTGAATTCATTCATCCTACTTTCTCGAATATTTCTTCAAGCCATTTTACCTGTCAGGACTGATGGTAAAATGGGTCAGTAGGTTTTTGTCTGCCAGGGATGAAGACCTGTACAGTGACTGTGGCTGGGAAGCTTCAGTTATGAAATCACTAGTGTATAAACACACAGCTTAAATTTCCACTGTGTAGAATGTTCAGTGGGACAGACAAATACACTCAAGATGATTCACGGGTGATCACGGGATTGCATCAGCTAGAAATTCTGTCTAGAAAGTAAGTGTAGAAAGAAAATGTAATCTCTCGGGCTTCTCAGGGACTCCACCAGAGGTCACACACTATTAAGTTAAATGATTGTATCACGTTCCTCTTAACAACTTATATATTTTGTGACTATGGTGAATACTAACAATTATCCATCTAGACACCGATGGCCATCGATGAATCCTACTTCTCTGTGTCTTCAATGGGCTTCCAGTGTTTATTAAACATGGCAGAAGGGATTTCCAGGATAACTCAATTAAAAAAAAAAAACAAAAACAAAACAATATAAATTTTAACAAGTCTCCTGAGATTTCAACACTGGCTATCTGCTCTTAGAGACAACTTGGCCCTTGTTACATTAGCTTCCAAGTTGAACACTGTTTGAGTTTGCCTACCTTGCCCTTTTTGTTTGCTTACCCTTGGTCTGTTTATAATGCTCTGTACCATAAAGACTACGGGGTTGCCTGCTTTCCGAATGGCTTCCACAGCTTGTTCATGGCTTGCATCTCTGAGGTCCATTCCATCCACCTGCAATGGAAGGCCTCAGCTTAACATTTCAAGAAGCTATAGAACAACAGAACAATTTGTGGATCTGGAGTTTTGAGGATCCTGGGTGAGGATCCTGGAAAGTCTGTTTCAGAATCAAAAATAACGGTGACTACTTTTGAGGCTCCAGAACTCTTAATTTGTCCAGGAGACCTGTGGTCCCTTTTTTTGGACACAGATTTCTGTCTCCAATAATCAACTAAAATCATAATCAGTTGAAATGAAGGCTCTGCTTCTGCTTTCCTTACACTATCAGCTGTTCCCTTAAATTAGGAAATCAACATCACTAAAGAAATCATATGAGGGATCTGTCCCGCAGCACTGTCTTCATCAGGAAAATCACCGTACACATTTGCTTCCGATTCATTATAGATTAGTTTGGGAAATGGGTGGGCGATGCTTTGTGTGTTTCTCTCTGTATACAGACGCTTGAAGTTAAAAACAAAAGTCTGATGTTCGGAAAAATCGGGTTATGACAAGATTAGTTTTGCAAAAGAATCTTTGTAGTAGATGTGACAGGAGCTGGAAGCCAAGAAATTGTGCTTGTTAGTAATTCTTATATAAATAGCTTGAAAATGAAAGTTGTTTTGTAACCTTTTTTTGACCATGGAATGCCGAGGGGATGATCAGGTCAGCTTATGCACTGAATAGGAAGGAGAATAGTTCGAAAGGCCAAATGCTAATCCTGCCAGGTTAAAACTATAGGATACTGTTATCATTTTATCATTTCCAATTACCACAATATGGTATATGCAACAAAATAGCAAAATTGGAGTAGGCACAATTCTGGAAAAGAAAATTAATTATTCGATCTCTGCATAGGACATTATCACCTTTAAATAAGTACATGCATTTAATTGAAAACCTCCCTCAGGTTGATACTTAGATAATGTATTACATCTTTCAGTGCGTATTAAAAATGGCTTTCATTTTTGTAGAATAAAAGTTAGTGTTCACATCCACTAAATATTCCATCTGTGGATGTTTACCAGGACGTTACAGATCTTTGCTCAAGTCCAAAGAACTCTATACTTAGAATGGAATAGTGTGCAGGTCTCTACTCGTCTAGTCTAAATACATTTTTAGACACTTGGCAGAGACATGTTTTAGAATCTCCAGGATCCCAGAGGCCTAAGGCTTTCTTACTTACTAGAAAAGCCCCTGTACATAAGAGCCTTCAACAAACTAGTGCTAAAACGCATATAGTATTTTACCACACACAGAAACATACTTTCTTTTCAATTTGAAAGGGATGCTTTAACTCCCTCAATACATTTAAACGACATTTTGGTACAAACCATAATCAGTCCTTTCTAGAAATAATTATGAATGTTTCCTTACTTTTGAGCCTTAGGTCAAAGGTATTTAATAGTGAATTATACATAAAATAAACTGCCCTGTGATAATCTGAAATTGGGAACTTTAGATAGTGTTCTAGCTAAAAAAGAGTTCTTTAAAAAGGTGCTCTGGGCCTGCCTGGGTGGCTCAGTCTGTTAAATGTCCAACTCTTGATTTGAGCTAAGGTCATGATCTCACGGTTCATGAGTTTGAGCCTGCACTGGGCTCTGTGCTGACAGCACGGAGCCTGCTTGGGATTCTTTCTTTCTCTCTCTCTCTGCCCCTCCCCTCATTCATGCACGTGCACTCTCTCTCAAAACAAATAAGTAAACATTTCTTTTAAAAAGGGGCTAAGATATCACCTAATGAAAGGCAAGGATGCAGGAAGAGAGAAAAAGGCCATTATTGTTCCTTATAAATGGTTGGAAGAAAAAAACAAAACAAAACAAAAAAGGCATGACCCTTGTCCTCCCATGTCTCAATCTTCCTCCCTCTTTAGCTCTCACAGACAATCAACCAGTAAAGGACTAAATAAATAAATCCTGAAACTGTTCATTTTAAAGTTGTGGTTAATATGTTATCATCTTTTTCTACACAATTAATGCATTTTAATGCATTATTAATTATTAATTAATCAGTTATATGGATTTAGAAAATGAGAGACAATCACTTGCATAAAGTAAACATAATGGTCCTTATAATAATAAAGTGATTGGTTTCTACTGGGAAGTTGTCTCTTATTCTACTCTATAAATCCTGACAATTTAGCAAATCTGGGTCAGGTACCCTCCCTCCACCCTCTTAACTAAAACTACACTTACCCTGATCAAGTAATTTATCACACTGTTCTGAAGTGACTTGATTACTTGTTAAGTCTGTCACACTTGACAGGCAGGCATGGTGCCTTGTTTACTGCAGAATGCCCAGAGCCTGTCGTAGCATCTGGAATGCAACAGCTGTTCCAGGAATATTTGCTGAGTAAATGAGTAGTGACCAAGGAAGAAAAGTCTATTTAACATATTATACTTTGTTTTGAATTAAGAGATTAGCAACAATTTGACCAAATACTTCTCTTTTTCATGACAAAGTTACACATACGTGAGTGTGTAAATACACAAACACACACACACACACACACACACACACACACACACACACACACCCCTCAGTGATAAATGGGCACAGCACTGAGAAGTAGGAGGAAAATCTGAGCTTGGATTGTGGGGGTGGGGCATTTATATAAAAGGTTACCAGGGTGATTAGCATAAAAGATTTACCAAAGAGACTCACTTGGAAAACAATCTTATCCAATGAAGTTAATCTACAATGAAATGATCGTGACAAAGCATTTCTTGAAATAAAATCTCACTGGAGAGCTTAGTTATGATGTACACATTCTGTACATGTATACATAATTTCAAACAATTCAATTTTTCCCCAAGAAATTTGCTTTGTTCTTTCAAACAGAACTTCATTATTTTAATTCAGCGCCAATGTTTTTAAAAATAGTTGATGATACCTCCAAACACCAGTGTCTGAATCAAGATATATAATCTGTCACCATGCTCTAAAGAGAAAAATTATAGATGAAATGGGACATATGAGAGAGAGACGCCTCCACCACAAGCACATCTGACTTTCATGTTGGGTCGAGTAAGCAGTGTAAAGACAACGATTCCCTTAGTAAAAAGGATGGAAGAGGGAGGGAACTTTGGCACAGAAAGCTCACTAGAGGATACCTCTACTATTCTATCTCCGGGTTTCAAGGTTCCATTTGTGCCAGCTGGACTATCTTCAAGAACATGTTTGATGAAAATGCCCCTCATCACTTCACCGTTGCTTAGACGACTCCCCATGCCTCGTCCACCAACAATGCTGATGCCCAAGGATTTGCTTGGTTCTCTCCAAAGTTCAACCCTATAAAGATAAATAAAATTGTAAACCCTTATAAGAAAGCTTAGAGAGAGAAGTCTCACAACACTGGGCTTTGCAATGATTTTTGGATATGACTCCAAAGTCCCAAGCAACAAACGACAAGACAGACAAACTGGACTTCAAAAAAATAAAAAAAACAACTTGTGTTAATCAAAAAATACTACCAATAAAGTAAAAAGGAAACACACAGATTGGGAGAAAATACTTGCAAATCACTCTTTAGATAGGGATTGATATCTAGAATTCTTAGAGAACACCAAAACATAACAACAAAAAATTAAGCCATCGGGTTAGTTAAGCGTCAGGTCATGATCTCCAGCTGGTGAGTTCAAGCCCTGTGTCCAGCTCTCTGTTGACAGCTCAGAGCCTGGAGCCTGCTTCTCATTCTGTGTCTTCCTCTCTCTCTCTGCCCTTCCCCCACTCACACTCTCGCTTTCTCTCTCTCTCAAAAATAAATAAGCATTAAAATAAAAAAAATTAAAAAATTAAGCCGTCTGATTAAAAAATGGACAAAGGAATTAAACAGACTTTTCCCCAAAAATGATATACAAAGATGCTCAACATCACTGATCATTAGGGAAATGCAAATCAAAACCACAGTGTGATACCACCTCACACCCACTGGGATGGCTATTATCAAGAAACAAACAAACAAACAAACAAACAAACAAAGGAAGTGTTGGCAAGGAGAAATTGGATCCTTCTGTGCTGTTGGTAGAATGTAAAATGTTGCAGTCACTACAGAAAACAGTATGGAAGGATCAAAGGATGAAAGCTTTTCCTCTAAGATCAGGACAAGACAAAGGTGTCCACTTTCACCACACCTGTTCAACATATTGCTGGAAACCCCAGCTAGCGCAATCAGGCAAGAAAAATATTCAGAAGGTATCAGAATTGGAAAGGAAGAACTAAAATCGTCTCTATGGAGATGACATAATTTTCTATACATAAATAAAAAATAATCAAAACACTGTTAAATCTAATCAATGAATTCAGTAAAGTTGTGGGATACAAAATACATACAGAAATAAGTAACATGTCTATATACTGACAACAAAATTTCTGGAAAAAAATAATTGATCTCATTTACAGTAGCACCAAAAATAATAAAATAGTAATACATTTAAGGACTTGACATTTCTCTACTATGAAAACAATAAGACATTCACAAAATAAACCAAAGAAGACACAGATAAATGGAAAGGTATCCTGTGTTCATGGGTTGGAAGAATATTGCTAAAATGTGAATACTAACAAAAAACATCTATAGATTCAATGCAATTCCTATCAAGATTCCAATGGCATTTTTTACAGAAATAGAAAAAAAAAACTCCTCTAGAATTTATATGGAATCACAAAAGACTCCATCTAAATAGTCAATGAAAGCCTGAGGAAAAAAGAACAAAGCAGGAGGCATCACACTTCCTGATTTCAAGCTGTACTTATAAAGTTACAGTCATTCAAAACAGTATAGTTCTGGCATAAAAACAGTCACATAGACCAGTGAAACAGAATCAAGAGCCCAGAAATAAACACAAGAATATATAAGAAGGTCAACTAATATTTGACAAGGGAGGCAAGAATACTCAATGGAGAAAAGAAAGTCTCTTCAATAAATGGTGCCAGGATAATGGAATATTTACATGTAAAAGAATTGAAAGGGATTCGTATTTTATACCACACACAAAAATTAACTTGAAATGGATCAAGGATTTAAACGTAAGGCTTGAAACCTATTGTGATAATCTTTTGAGGACACATATAAAATCAAGCCATCATGCTATTTGCCTTAAACTTATACAGTGATGTATGTTCAATTACTTCTCAGTAAGACTGGGGGAAAAGAAAGAAGAATGGTGATTGCTAGCAAATGGGGGTAGGCAGAAATGGGGAGTTATTTAACAGGTACACATTTTCAGTTTTGTAAGACGATTTAAGTTCTGGAGATAGATGGTAGTGATGGCTATGCAGCAATGGGAATGTTCTTAATGCCAGTGATTTGCACACTTAAAAAATGGTTCATATGGTCAAAAATTGTAACAAAATTTTTAAAAACTCAATGTAAGTTAATGTAATGCAATTTTAAAAACTCAATGTAATGTAATGTAAGTTAATTTTTGCCAATTTATGAAATTTTGCCAATTTAAGGTTTTACCGGTAGTGAAACAAAACCATTTTATTAAACACTTTCTCAATTATATGTTTTATAGGGTCTGATAAACACTAATGCCAATCTGAAGCTGATTTGTTACAAGTAAATGCTGGACTCACACTCCTGGCTGGGACACAGACCAATGTAAAAGTACCATTTTCCAGGAGCTCTAATACTGCAGACATTAAGAAACCAAGAAATTCAGCTACCCCTGAACAGATGGTAGCTTCTACACTTGGCAATCAAATCAAGGAAAAGAACATTCCTGCACACTCTATGTCAGAAGCTTATCTCTGTAGAATTCCTCCTTGCCAAGGTAGACCTGGTACCTAACAGTCCGGGCATGAAAAGCAGTGGCTGACAATATCCTACGTGATTTGATCCCACACCGCCGCCCTAAATTCCTCTCCCACAATTCTGCTTTCCTCTCTATACTCCAGCTACCCCAGCATCTTCTTGTTGTTCCTTAAGTAGGTCAGGCATACTCTCTGCTCTGGGGCCTTGGTGCTTGCCACCTCCCCTGCTTGAGTGCACTTCCCCTACCCCTATAATAAACACAGGAACTCGAATTTAGTGACTGCATATAGCTCTAAGAGCTATGAATGCACTAAATTTATGTCTTAAGAAAAGGCTGGGGGATAAGAACAAGGTGATTTGCAGTGAGGTAGGTGTCTGGCTGGGAGGAGGAACAAGCAGCTCAGGGTGTTGGAAAACAAGCAGAGAAACCTAGCAGAGAGCTCTGAGAATGCAGTCTGCTCCGCGCTACAGGATGGGAGACAACGTTGGGCATTAAATAGGAAAACAAAGCATGGTCCAAACATGGCCTCAATTTGAGGAGCTTTGAGGAGTGTCCAGAGGAGAGGAAAGATTGGAGTGTGGACTCCCGTGTAGTGAGGGAAGTCCCAGTAAGAAAAGGCTGGGTATAAAGGAGTACCATGGGTGGAGGGAGAGGACAGCTCCTGGCCAGATGAAGGCAGATGAAGTCAGCATTTTTTTTTTTTTTATTAGAAATCTATAATCTTAGAGACCTAACTATTTAGTTCGAAAGGATGTTATCAGGTTCCTGAATCTTAATAATATTTGTATAAATAGTTTAAACTGGTTAAAATCCTAGTCCTCATATTCTTTCACTATGGGAATTCTGTGAAAGACAAGAACCAAAACTCTTTCTTGTTTCTTAAAGCAATTCCTAAGATAAAATGGCAAAGTAAAGATGTCAGTAAATTTAGCCATTTGTAGGGAGACATTTAAGAATTCAGAATACGTATGTAGGACTCCTTAACCCTTCTCTTAAAAAGGAAAAAAATAAAGCAAAGAAAGAAAATGTCTCCTAGGGTTCTTTGTAGTTAGTGTGAATTGGGGAGACCGATTCTTATAATTTCTCAAACAATAAAAATAGCAGCAGGGAACACTTATTAAGAGCTTATCATGTGCTCAGCATTATTCTCTAGATGAGTTTGTTTACTTTCATTCATTTTACAAAGGGAAGAGGCTCAGAGAAGTTAAACAACCTTTGGAAAATAGCACTGTATGTCCACATAGGGTCTGGCAGATAGTAAAGTGTTTTCAAATACAACATATTTGCTAGGAGAAAGGCTGTAACTCCTTAAAACACTGGGGAAGATAACAAGGACCGAGCTGCCGAATGACCAGAGCAAGGAACCAGACTCGTTATTCACTGAACAGGACATGGTAAAACATTCCGTGGACAGAAAAAAGGAGATGTGTAAAAGAAAAATGTTATAGAACATGTTCAGACTCAGTTGAATGGAATAATGGCAGCCTTCCTTGAGACCAATACACAGGTTTGCGGAGAATGAAATTCAGAAAAGCAAAGGTAAAAGAGCTCCGAGGCCAGGCTGCCTGAGCTCTGAATGGACTCCCTCTTTTCAAGTCCCAATTTTTTGCTCCTTAACAATTGTGTGACCCTCTGCAACTTATTTAGTCTCTCTTTTACCCTTCCTCAGCCGGGAAATGGATCCAGTGAGTCTCTCTATGTCAATTACTGTGAGGACCAGATTAATGAAGGTATGCAAGGTGCAAAACAAAGCTTTGGCACAGAGCAAGCAATCAATAAATCTTTTACTACTCTTATTATGAAGATGGAGATTATGATTACTGCAGCAAGGTAAGCAAGATATAAAATTCAACCCAGATGACAGATGAGAAAATGTGTACCCCACCACCTTACTCCTGTTATACCTATACGTTGCTTATTAACACAAGATACCATTTTCTAACCACCAGATTGACAAAAAAAAAACCGTGTTTTTTAAATGATCCTATGATGTGGTCACAAGGACATGGGGAAAAGGAAACTCTCATATATTAGAACTGCCTGATTTAAAAGTTGGCACAGCCACCTTAAAAAGCAATTTGACAACTTCTAATAAAATAAATAATACATTTAAATCTATGAGCCAGCAATTCCTCTTTTGGAAACATACCTAGATAAATTCTCACACATATGTGTAAGGAAATAGATATATTTATTGCACACAATTATTGTAGTTGTGGATAAATGTTAACTACTCAAGTAGCAATCTGGGAATAAATGGTGGTGTATTCATGTGCTGAAATGCACTGCAACAACTAAACTGAATGAAGTGAGTATCAACATGATAGATCTCCAAATCACTGGATTGAGAGAAAATAAGCAAGCTAGAAAATGGCACATAGAGTATGATACCAATTCTGTACATGAAAATCACATGCAAAATAAGAGTAACAGCTTATTTGCATTCTTAAAATTTATACTTTGCTAACAAATATCCTCTATTGCCACACAAAGTAAACTTCTTTAAATTGCATAAATGAATGTCCCATCATATTTCCCGTGTTGTAATGCATATTCATGACACTTGCTCCTCGTTTACTAAAAGCTCTGGTTAGTTCGATAAGCTTCCTCATGCTATTCTGTGAACTGTTCCCAAAAAATACCTTAGCACAGGGTACCTTGTTTAAGATTTCTGGAAGCTCCGAACATATTCTCTCTGTAAAGTAGCTATCACCTTTAGAGATGTGAAGACTAAAACTCAGGCTAGAAGTATAAAAATCTTCCACTTCCAAAGTTACACCCAATTCTTTCTCATAATAAAATATCAGATGATTCCTGTGTTCAACATTTTTTATTTGCTTAGTTATTAGTCATGGCGGTGATTACTGACAGGCCAACCACTGACTGCTTACTCCGCACGAGGCACTGTGCTAAAAATTTTACATGCATTATCACATTGAATTCTCCAAATCTAAAAGATGTGATTATTAACCTCATTTTACAGATGAAGAAACAAACCTAGCAGAGGTTAAGAAATTTATCTTAAAAAGTGTCAAACTTAGAATTCTAACATGGCTCTTAGGGACTCCAAACTTTTTGCATATTGTCTCCTAAAATCTACTTTTTCTCCAACAATGTTATTAAAAGCTAATAAATCTACCTTAAAAGTTAGACTTGTGATTTCTGTCCTCCAACAAAATTCAAGTTTATCACTAGGATCACCAGCTACAAAATAATTTCATCTAACTTACTTTTGCCTTTATCTTCATATAAACAAGAAACACCATAATCTATTTTCTGTCACAGATCTAGCATTTATATTTTGGTCTGAGTGTGAGAATGATTCAGAAAGACCTTGATTTCTTTAAGCAGCCTAAATAGCTTTACAAGAATTCCAATCAAAAAGTTATTTTATTTTTTTTTTTAGTGTTTATTTTTGAGACAGAGAGGGAGAGAAAGAGACAGAGAGAGAGAGAAAGAGACAGAGAGAGACAGAGACACAGCATGAAGGGGGAGGGGCAGAGAGAGGGGGAGACACAGAATCCGAAGCAGGCTCCAGGCCCCCAGCTGTCAGGACAGAGCCTGAGGCGGGGCTCAAACCCATGAACCATGAGATCATGACCTGAGCTGAAGTTGGATGCTTAACCAACTGAGACACCCAGGAGCCTCTCAAAAAATCATTTTAAATGGCTAGAAATGCTTACTGATTTTTGCGAAAGCAATATAAAATGTTTCCTACATTTTGAATATGACTCAACCAGAAATGTTTAAATGTAAGCAAGGAAAATCATCAAACTGTATTACATCCCTGAATAGTAGAAATTTTTCTCTTCAGAGTATTTTGTTTATTCAGTGTAGAATAAATATTAAGTGTTTACTAAATAAGTGCAAGAAACCATTATGATGGTCACTTGTAGATCTGTTTACAGGGACGATCCAGTGACTACTTCTATTTTATACTTAATGCAAAATACCTTACTTTTTTCCTTAATTATTTTGTGTGTCTCTATATCTTGTCTATCCAACTATATTATACTTCCTTGAAGGTAGGATTTCTGTCTCATACTTCCCTGTTATTCACAAAAACATGTGCATCCATAATCAGAGCTCAATAAATTCCTATGAAACTGAATTTGATTTTACTCAGCATGAATACAAAAATATGCCTTAGTGATGCATAGAGATATATAGGAACATATTTAGGAAAGTTATCTTTTCTATATATGAAATTGGCTCCAGACAGAGCATGGGTTAAAATAACTACAGCCTGTGATAACAAGATGCTTGCACACGCGCGCGCGCACACACACACACACACACGTTTTGAATATATATGCTATAAATGCTAGAGAAAATTTAAATTAACATTTGGTGGTATACCTAAGATCAAACTCTATAGAAAATATTATGCATTCTATCTACCTGTGCATAATTTTCTCTAGTCAACCACATTTTACCCCTACTATGTGCCAAACCTTTGTATACATGTTAGTTTCAACCCCGTGGAGTAACACATTATCTTCTCCACTGCACACATGAAGAAACGGAGGGTAAGGGATATTAAAACACCTTGCTTGATGTCACAGCAGCAAGTTGTAATCCAGTACTTGAAACCACACCTCCCTATCTTTAAACACTGAGTAGGCAGAAGACAGAAATAGTCCTTACCGTCTGGGCTGATTCCAATTACTGTATGCTGCATTTTGAAGCTCACTTTCTTCTCCCTCTCCTTCTTCTCGCTCTGGTAGTTCTGGAATGTCTCTGTTAAAAATTTACATAGTGAGTACTCCAAAATCCTAGTAAAACTATGCAAGTTTGTCTTATATATACCGTATTATTTATTTGGCTAAAAATGCAGAGCTACCTTATATTTTTACATACTTGGCCAATTTTACATTAAGGGGAAAAGAAAAACCTAATGAAACAAAATGAAAACCTTATATTAGAATCAATCTACCACAACTTAGTCTGGAGATATAGCTGAACACTAAGATTCTTAGCTAGTCTGTTTCTTTCCCAAGGAAATATGGGAAAGGAACAAGAAAGGGATAAATGCAAGAACTTTAAAGAAAAACATTCAACAAGTATTTCTCTTTTTTAAAATTTTTTTCATGTTTATTTATTTGGGGGGGGGGAGTGGGGGAGGGGCAGAGAGACAGGGAGACACAGAATCTGAAGCAAGCTCTAGGCTCCTGTCTGTCAGCACAGAGACTGATGCGGGGCTCAAACCCACAGACTGTGAGATCATGACCTGAGCTGAAGTTGGACGCTTAACTGACTGAGTCACCCAGGCGCCCCTCAACAAATATTTCTTAAACTAAAGTTATAAGAGATAGAAGCACCATGTGGCTTATAAACTTGTATGGCTCTGATTGATTCCGTTCTTGAAAGAACTTACCCACAAATAAGACAGAAAATTAGTATCTCTGCCTCCTAAGGACAGAGCAAAGCTTTCCCTTCAAGAAAGACAGAAGATGCTTTAGGTCCAGCTTCAGCCCACCCAGAGGGGTCATGCATAGAATACTCCTCACAGAAAGCAGTGTACAATGTACCTGTATTCAAGGCCACTTTTCAATTTCTTTAGAAATTCAGATTTTGCCAAATGCCAGGCACATAAAAAAATGTGTTCCGTCTGTTAACTAATTTTAAATTACACTGTAAATAAACCATATCGATACATACTTTGTTTTTCGAAAGGTATACTTTGCATCAATACATTGTAAGAGCAAGAGAGAATGATTAAATCGGTTATAGTGTGTCCTTACACTGTTAGTAAAAACTGGATTTCTAAAGACATATGTGAACACATTCTTTTGAAAGCAGAGAAGGCTATAAAAATTCTAATTTAATAAATGTTTCCAGTTGACTTTTATAGAAGCTGAATAATCTAAAGAAAGTGTATGCTCAAATTATGTCTATTCTCCAGTGATATGAATACTCAACTTTGTCAAATTGTATAACCTTTAGGCTCTGAGAGCAGAAGTCACATAACCCAAACCCAATAATCCATCTGTGTTTGAACGTGTTTCACAACATCTTTGGAAATCAACTGTCCAAGCTCTCCTTGAATGTCTCATTCTTCCTTTGACCTAAATGTTAGATTTTTGTTTTCATGTGAAGAGGAAATCTGCCTATCTGTCCTACCCATTGTCGTATGTTTGAATACCCTTCCTGTGCAAATTGAGGTAACAAGGTTCTGAATGAGGCTGGGACCCAGGAGCCTAAGCTTGACAGTGGGACAAGACTGATGGGAATGGGTCCAAAAAGGGGATTTAAGAAGGATGTTTAAGAAGCAGACTGAGGACTAGAGAGACTGAGGGAAACTGTACTCCTGAAGATACAGGGTAGACAGGTGAAAACTAGGCTAACCCTCAGGAAATACAGCTGGAGGGAAGATGGCAGAGAAGCCGGTATGGAACGCAGACAATAATAAGAACTTAAAATGAGTTACTGAAATATTCAGTGACAGCCATGGGGATGGGAGAAGTTCTTACCCATCAAGCCCAAGCTCAGGGAGCTACACAGATACCCTCTCAAATACACTAACCTCATGTTCCTACCTTTTTAGCTGTAAGACTAATATCCCGAATCCTCTGATACAAAAACTCCATTTTCTTCAAATGATTCTATAATCCTAGAATCCTTTCATCAACCCAGATAAGCTCCTATAAATGTGCTGTTCATTCATTCCTTATCCATCTTAGAATGTGGTTTACAGGAATCAAGTGCCGTGTGCTCCAGAGATCAGAATGGACCAGTTCTCTTCTCCTGAACTCACTTGGCTAAGAATGAATTAGACTTCTTTGCACCTGTGTTTGGCCACTACCAATGACATTTCTATCAAGTATAACAACTCTTTGTACATCTGCATTCAGATTTGGGAAATTGGCACAAGGTCACACAGTAAAGTAACAGAGGTATGAACTGAGGCCATCTTATCATAAAACCTGAGCTCTAACCTCCATGCTATACTGTCCCATATTTTTATACTGGGCTTGTGCAATTCTCTCTTCGAGTCCAAAGGTTAAGAACATAGGGCCTGACTGTTGATATTCTAATCTTGGCTCTGCCAATTAGTAGCTACGGAACTTGGACAAGTTACTTATCCTCTCTGGTGCAGATTCCTTTTCTACAAAATGCATGCTGTTTTGTTTTGAGGGCCCTTGTACTAACAGCAAACACACTTTCTCTTCAATGAAGCAAGTAGTCACAGCACTGGACAATCCAGGTCAATGTGCTGGGAGGGAGCACACAGCGCTGAAAGTGGCTGTTTCTCTAATGACTTTTGAGAGCTTGTGAGGCCTCAGAACTTAATAGGAATATGATGTTACCTTGGCATAGTCTTTAAACTATTCGAAATAATATTTTAGGGGGATGCTGGAATTATTGCTTTACCATTTTGACAGGAAGCTATAATCAATTAATGCCATTAACCATGAGACAAATTCTAGAGAGGGGTATGGCTGAACTGTGCACAAGGTGGAGTGAATACTCCTTTTCCCATAAAATTCATGAGGCCCCAAGGCCTATGACATTCCGCCTCCTCATTAGCTCATAAAATACCTTTCCCTTCCCTAATGCTTTCTGTAGTACTCCAGTCGTGAGCACGTCGCAGAGGAAACCGTGATGCCGTATCAAGATACCTGCACGGTCACTGGACACCCGGGTGTTCCGGGATGTTCTGACATCCTCTATGGAATGGCAGAACTCTTGTGAGAACACTCCAGAATGTTTGCAGAGCCATCACTTCTCTGCCATACTTAAAGGGAAATCTGGTACTCAGTTGTTAATGCAACTGAAAAAACAGGCCTGGGGTTGAGAGTGTAAAATGGTTCATTCTTCATGGAAAAGCAATTTGACAACATTTCTCTTTCTGTGTTGAACTCAGTCAGCAGCAGCAGCAAAATGTACTTTCTGACATTCTTAGGGGAGATAAAAAAACCTTTCTCTGTGTTAAAGGTTCTTAATAAATTATGTGTCAAAAGCCTTCAAAAAGCCATACACTGTTGCCTAACATGCATATATACAAAGATGTTCAGTTCACAACACTCCAAAAGAGTAAGAAATAATCATTAAAAATGTTTCTGAATAGGTATGTATGTTAATAAAAAACTAAGTATAATTTCTGAATGTGTTTGAAAACATTTATGAAGGAGGAAAAACCATGATACAATACCATATGAACTGTAGGCTCCAGGGAATCAATGAAATAATACTGAAATCTGGGGTAAATTCCCAAAACCCAGTCTGCCAAAAGTACCATACTGAGTGGTGCAACTAAAGAGGATTTTAATTTCTTGATTTGAACTGTCATATATTTTCCACACTATATGATAATTTCTTAACTAATGGGGGCTGAGTATTTTTAAAATCTTAGAAGAGAGAAAAGGAATCCATTCTTTTTCATTGCTAGTCCTCCCTGACTCTGGCTCCTAAAGTCTTTCTAGCTTTCTGTATCAGTCACTCATTGCAGCCAACTTACAGCTTCACTCACCTGCCAGTATATGAAGAAAATATATCCAGTGCCATTATTCCTCCAGATTGTTGCCCCAAATTTATTTTGAACTCTTCCAAATGTTCTGCAGGCACATAAGTAATTCTGAAACAGAACACAATCCAGGGGAAAAAAAGGAAGCGGAGTTTTTTGCCTAACAGGCAAAGTTTCTGAAATATAGAAATAAAATTATATTGTCCCTTCATCCCTATTTTTGCACTTTTTCATTTAACAGCTTATTCAGCAGAGAATCCAAACTTGGAAAAGATAAAGCATCCTATAAGCAAAAATAACAGGTTAAGGTTTACATTTTTTTTTAGAGAGAGAAAGAGAGAGAGAGAGACAGAGACAGAGAAAGAGAGAGAGCATCTCATGCAGGCTCCACACTCAGTGGGACTCGATCTCAGGATATGAGACCATAACCTGAGCCTGAGCCGAAATCAAGAGTTGAACAATTAACTGACTGAGCTACCCAGCTGCACCTAAAGTTTCCCTTTTTTTTTTTTTTTACTTTAAATGTCAAGCGACAATTAAACTTTAAACTGCTGATAAACTATATGCTTACTAATAATTATGTGAGGGAGGAAAGCAGCATTATTTTCATTTCTGAATGAGAAGAGTAACAGCAATTTTTAGAAAGATCTACTAATCCTTAGAAGCATAACTAACAGCAATAACACGGATTTCATCCAAAGATTTCTGGGTTCCTCAGCAGACAAAAATCAGGCATGCTCTACTAAAACACTACTTACCCCAAATTATTTTATATTCATCCATAATATATAATTAATTTTAGGCACTGATAAGCATTATAATAATTATATGTTAGCTCTATTAAGTTATGAACCCGAAAGTCTGAAGTTAAACTATCACAAGTTTATGGGAAGATTCTCTTCCTAATTTGTAGCAACTCCCTAATAAGCTATTTTGGTTTTAGAGAAAAGCCTGATATTTGCCCTTGAATGGTCACTTACTAATTCAACAAATACTGGCTGACTGCCTACAATATGGAGGGCATGAAGCAAGATGCTGACTACAGCTATAATGTTTAGAAACTGATATTTAGAAGTTCAAGTTTACTGCTGCCCTATAAGGCTACAGAACTGATCGATACAAGGCTACAGAACTGATTGTTCAAGGAGGTGGTCCCGAGATCTTCAAATTAAGGAACAGTTAGGTAAGAGAAACACTCAATTTGAAGTTGGTTCAGCACCTTGTGCAACTAAAAGAAGAAGTATGTATCAAAATTGCACAATATAAAAATCATGAAGACTATTAAGCCAGCTATCCATAACTTACCCATGAAGACAATAAGTACATAAAACCTTAGCAATGGAGGGCAAGGATAAAAGGACTGTCTTTTATGCCGTAATAAAATAAGAATTATACCACTGGCATAATTTACTGAGTGAGGAGGATATGTAATTCCAGGCATATTGGTTATTCCATAAAAAGCATTCACTCTTGTGAGGTCACTTAAATTTGGAGTCAGAAGACACAGCTCTGTTGCTCATCAAGAGTGTAATGGGAGGGTAAATCACCACCACCAAATCCTTATATCCTCAATCACGAAAAGGACGTCACTTTTTATGAGGCTGTTGTAACCCGAGAAGCATAAAACAAATGTAAGGCAGTGCTGTACCAGGGCATCAGCTAGCCTGGTCGCACCTGATCGCTCTGGCCGACTCCGTGGACCCTTGGGAGTCTCCTCATGACACTTTTACCGCAAGGATCAAAAAATAAAGCAGCACAGTTGAGAGGGTTCAGGAGTACACTGGGAGACAGAGTCACATTCTAATTCTGGCTCTAGCTAATTTATTCATCTATAAAAACACCTCCTCCATGGTGTTAAAAATATATGGAATAATAAACTTGAATTTATCCCTCCAAAAATAATGAGTAAAAAATGTGTAACACATTATGTCAGGAAGATTGATTCTATTTTACACGAAGACAAGTAAAGATAAACCTAAAACTAAAAAGCCCATTCAAGAAAACTGGCATTATTTCTGAAGACTCAGTAAAGGTAACACATATAAATAAAAGTCAGGTAAAACATATAAATAAAAAAATAAAAATAAAAGATAAAACACATAAAAAGACTTTTATAAATAAATAAAAGTCAGGAGTTGAGGGGGGAGCTGGAGCACAATAGCAAAAATAATAATAATCAGTTCAAAGTATTGATTTTTTTTTAAATGTTTTGAGAAGGAAAAAAGGTTTCTACCCCTAACAACGCTGAAAATGAATTTTCCTCCGTGTTCGTCCCAAATTGTTTTTTTCTTTTACCAAGGCTAGGGGACAGGGAGTTTTACAAATATTTTTCTGATACATTAGATGGCAGTGAGAAATGGAAAAGAAGGCAGTTTTCATAAGTAGTTAGCCCACAGACAGCGAGGACACCAGAACAAGAGGCCCACAATGCAACAGCACATGCAAAGCAATTCTAACACATGCCTGGTCATACAGCACACAAAACCTCCAAATCGCCAGAGCACCAAAAATAAACACACCGCAACAGCTTATTTGACAGTTGTATTAAAAATTCTTAAATGTAAACTAATCTTTGGTTACAAATGGGGTGGAAGAAAAAAGAATAGCATTAGGAACGCCGAAATGTGATACGGCTATTAATCCCGAGACCGCGTCTGCACATGCAGACATTCCCTGACAAAGAGCCTGGTAGCTTAGTAGTTGGAAAATGTGATTTTCAAATGAGTTCACAATCAGCAGTGCAATGTGAAAATGTAACAATCTCATAGTTCTTTTGGGATTTATGTTCTGAAATAAATGGGGGGGGTGCAAAATGTATACACTGAATCTATTATCTGGATGTATCCCTGCACTGGGAAGTTATAAAAGCATGAAATGGTTTTCACAGACAAGTTGTAACACACAGCCATAATGAGCTTTTGAATCACCGATACTCACACATAAAAGGGGGCTCGATCATCAGCAGGTGCTGTAGAAAATCTAGAATGTGAAGCATACGCCGCGGCATCTTTTTACAATGGTGTTAACAAATGTCAATGTCTTGTGCTGAATGTGAGATGCATACATATGTAGTTAAAAGTGGGTGCTCCTGGTTGTTTTTTTTTCCCCTTTCCACCTCCCTCCCCATCTACACCTCCCCCAGAAAAGCATCTGCTCTTCACTGGTGTCTATAGCAGTGATTATTAACAAGCATGGAAAAATATAACTGCAATCAATCTTTTATTCCTTGATCAGGAATTCATCCCACACTTTGGGTTAAGGCAGGTGAATTCTGATTCAGCTCGGTAATTATCTGGCAGATGTTAGAAGCAGCTGCTGCTAAGCACAAAACCCTGGCTATTATTATAGAAATATAAGAGCTCCTGGCAAGGTGGAGTGAGAAGTGAAACAGTGCATTCTGGTGAGGCTTCACATCTGGTTTTCCATAGAAAATAATGAAACCTGGAACTTAAACTGGCTGTTCTTGAACTCTTGAAACTCACATTATCTACCCAGGCACGCATGAACGCACACACACCAAGTTCCCAGCTATCTATCGTAAACAGCAAAAAAGAAATTCGGTACATTATCTTCAATAAGCAATGATTTTCCTAAAACCCGCCAGTTATGTAACTGAACCATTTAGAGCCTCTTATTTTCTAAGTCCCCCCAATACACTCCCTCCACTCCTATCCCACATCAAGCTAGGCTCATAACCAGAAATAAAGAGGAAGAGACGTGGATGGAGCCTACATCCAGCAATGACAGCAAAGCTTAACTGGCCAGGGGCAACGTTATGGTTCCATTCAGAGTAGTGGAAGGACTAGACTTTTTTTTTGGGAGGATTATTCACAGAGCTTTTAAGGTAATTCTAAACCTTTGCTTCATAAAAGCAAGTGATAAGAAGGGGACGGGGCCAAAACACTTCACGCAAAATGCAAGGAACACGCTGCTCAGCCCTGGTCAATCTAAATGGCTATTTGTGTTGATCATTTAACACGCTTTTTCTGAAAAAGGATTATGTGATTCTAATTTCTTTCTACCATTTACCCAGTAAGTCAAATCAAACCCATCTGAATCACAGCCTTACCAGGACACTTGAGAAGAAATCAATGTGTTTCGCGTGTTTCTGCCTGTGTACATCCCCACACACCTGACCATGTGAGAAAGAAATGGATTGACTGGTCTTCAGAGGAGGGGAAGATGCAGGACTTTTCTTATTCTTTACGGTATGTTCTGACTCCTGGGATCCTAAAGCAGTAATTCATGAGGCTCTCTCTTTAGATATCCTCAAGGCCCTCATGAAGCTGCTGTCAGCATGAATGGGTCCATTCTGGTGCTGAATCAGAAGGTGGGAGAACAAACAAAGCAAAGGACAGCAGCAACAGAAATGAGGAAAAGAGAAAAAATGACTTTGGGAGCTTGAAAAAGTACCCTGAGACTTTTCTAGAGTGGCCTAGATGCCTAAGTTAGGCCAAAACAGTGTCACAATCGTCTTATTTTTCGGCCACTTTGTAAGTTTTGCGGGACATCTGAACTGAGGGGGAAGACTAGACACAGGCACCGTTTCCGGGCCTCAGTGCCAAAAACTGGGCAGGGGACTCGCATTGGTGCCTAGAGCATAAGACGTGCATATCACACAATAAATCAAATGATCAGTTACCAGGCCACGTGTGTTTTAAACTCCATCTAAACCATGTAAGCTAAAAGCCTTGCAAGAAAGGGTCTCCATGTGGGTCTATGTCATTCATCTTTGAAGCTAGATGAATGGGCACTGGTCTATAAGTGGTGAAGAAAGCTCTTAAAGTTTCTCTTTTTTCTTAGAGGCACTGACATTTTTAACGTATTCTCTTGGACTCACATTATTCAGATAATTAAGGAACTGTCACATGATGAGATGATCCATTCCATTACAAAAGTCAAAAGGGCATGCAAATTTACAAAGTCCATCACTGAAATTCTGCCTAAAAATAATACTTCTTTTGTGTAAGATAGCAGAATCCACTTCAGACAGTATACATTTTTCTGCTATTTGCTGATGGCAGAATGAAAAACAGATTGTAAACACAGTTTTCTTACCAAAGCTCTAGCAGTATATAATTTGCACAAGAATAATAGAGAATGCAGTCAGTAAAATAACATTAATACAGCAAAGTTTCCCATACTGGTAATCATTACTTCAATGTAAGCTAAACCATCTTTCCCTGTGCTCTTATTTTACTATTTTATCCCTTATACATTAAATACAAATATTCAATAGTTGATGCGAGAGAAGAAAAGCCAAGCTATTACACTGATGAGGTGTGTCAGAGTCATAAACTGATTTTTATGTTCGCTCAAGAAATGTTTTGTGACTTAAAAACCAAGCGACATATATGATGTGCTTTTAGCACAATATGGGATTATGGGATAGTTTTAAGCACTTCCTGACAAAATAGCCTACATGACCTACAATCAGACTATACCAACAGATTGGTGAATTCTCTTGGACCACGAGGTAGTTGACCAAAGGGTGAATTATGGGTCAGACTGACACTGTTCTATATAGTCTCTTCCATGACCGACCACTGAAAAACTAGCTTAGTCCTAGGATTCGCATAGGTCAATTAGGTAGTACACAGTTCCTTATACTGATCCTAAGTGGACATCCTGTTCTATGAGAGATGGCTCATATCACGGAGACCTAAGGTTCTTGCAGAATTATTAGAGTAAAATTAAACACAGCAGGCAATTTTTTTCAAATATTTAAACACTGTATCATCTTAAAGAAACTATATCTACAATCAAGAACTATTCAGGAATAGTCAAATTTCTGAGTGATTTATTTTTAATAAATGTGTGATAATTTTAGCATATTAAACAGAAGTACATACTGAAAAAAAAAAATGATCCGTGAATTGAACTTCCTGAATTTCCCAAGCCAAACTGGAGTCCAAATGATACTTACTTAATGTCAGGCCCGATGAGAGAGTGTCTTCTCAACATCGCTCGCGCTTGGGCATTGGTTAAACTTATAGTAGATTCTTCATTAATAGACAAGATGCAGTCCCCAACGGCAATCCGGCCATCTCGACTGATGGAACCTCCGTGAATGATACTTCGAACGATCATCCCCAAGCCATCTTTATTAGCACTTACTGTCATCCCTATGGTAAAGGGGAAGCACAGATATATATCAAATACTTGACCTTCAAATTCATTTTAAGTTGAATTTAATATACCCTATGGATTCACAGATAAAAGGAGTAACTTTTTTATCCAATAAAACACGATCAAAAGGAAAGAAAAAAAATGTTAACACAAAATCTACTTTTTGAAATGGTTGTGAAGTTTTATCCAGAAAATGATAATCTATGTTAGACATATCAGAGATGAAATAGGTCTATGTTGTGGAGTGACTACAACTCAGGTTATTGATGTGTTGCCCCTGAAAGAGAAAACGCTACTGAGGAAAATATTTTGACAGAAACAAATCAATTTTATAGCAGTTCGTTTCTTAGACATATAAGAGAATAGATAACAAGACTACAAAGGGAAAATTAGTCGTGTAAATTAAGAAACTCTGTGCTATTATTTATTATTATTATTTCTAGTTCATTTATTCATTCAGTATATATTTACTACATGCCTACTACGTGCCAAGTACTATGCTGATTTCTTGAGATTAAAAAAAAGGATAGCTAACACCAAGAAGCTTTTATTCAAGTCTTATCCTCAGTGACTGATGTACAGTGGTCTGTTTAACTGAAGTGATGTGGACTTAATCCTAATCTCTTCCCATTTTATCTCTAAGTCTGAAGTATGAGCTCCAGATTTGGAGCTCATTAATTGCCGTCCCAACATCCATGCCGTCCCTGGATGGCTAACAGGAGACACAACGTTGGGATATACAAAACTGAACTTCCAAGTTTCCACTTCCCGTATTTCTTCCCATTTTTGACAATGGCACCAGTACCCTATCTCCATTTCTCAAAGCAGAAATGTTGGAGTTGTTCTCGATTCCTACCCCTCTCTCTCAGCTCTTGTATTTAATCCCTCACCACGTCCTGTCATTGCTGTCTCCAAAATGTATCGCAAATCCATTCACCCTTCTCTGCTTCCCGGCCAACCCCACGCCAAGCTGGCACTTCTTGCCCCACCTTTTTTTTTTTTTTTTTTTTTTAATTTTTTTTTTCAATGTTTATTTATTTTTGGGACAGAGAGAGACAGAGCATGAACGAGGGAGGGGCAGAGAGAGAGGGAGACACAGAATCGGAAACAGGCTCCAGGCTCTGAGCCATCAGCCCAGAGCCTGACGCGGGGCTCGAACTCACGGACCACGAGATCGTGACCTGGCTGAAGTCGGATGCTTAACCGACTGCGCCACCCAGGCACCCCGTCCCACCCCCCCACCTTTTGAAAGAGCTTCTCAACTGGTCTTCCCATTGCACTCTTGTCACAGCAGACACAGCGACCGTTCAAACAAGACAAATCACATCACTCCTTTGTTAACAATCCTTCACCAGCGTCCTGTCGTGCAGGACACACCTACAACACACTTCAGTGGCACAACCCGTAGGGCACTGCTGGCCTGGCCCTCCCGACGTGCGCCCTTCTTCAGCACCACGCCCTGGGCTCCGTCTCCTCCCGCCATGTTGACTGCCTTCAGAAATACACCTAGTCTCTCCCCACTTCTGTGTTGGCCTGACACCTTCTTCCCGAAGCTCCCGTCGGCTAATTCCTTCTTGCTTGTCAACACCACTTCCTCCAAAAGGGTTTCTCAACAAACGCCCTCTGGATTTATGTTCCCTTCTCACCCTACCCTTTCTCCAAAAATATAAAACTTTTTGAAATTATGTTTAAAACTTTACATAAAATAATGTAAATTCACTTAAAACAAAGTGCTAGAAGTTCCTTCCAAACAAGATCATATAATTAAATAATATAAGAAGAGGTACAACTCTCTAAGGGTAGTTTGCAAAAACCTGCTTTGAGAGAAGTCACAAATTCCTTTTTAGGTTTTGTTGTTAATATAAAAATAAAGAAATTCTTCTAAATACTAACATTTTTAAAAAAAATTTTTTGATGTTTATTTTTGAGAGAGACAGAGTGAGAGCAGGCGAAGGGCAGAGAGAGAGGGAGACACAGAATCTGAAGCAGGCTCCAGGCTTCGAGCTGTCAGCACAGAGCCTGATGCGGGGCTTGAACTCATGAACCGTGAGATCATGACCTGAGCCAAAGTTGGAAGCTTAACCGACTGAGCCATCCAGGTGCTCCTAAATATTAACTTTAATAATACCAAACTAGATTTCTGAGAATACCTTTCTGAGAATAATCCTGACTATAATGTTTCCAACTTGATATTTCATACCTGGATATGGGACATCTGAGCTCTAGTTACAGTTTTCTGATAGAAATGAACTATTATCAAATGTATTTAAAATATTGTTAAGACTTACACTGATGATTTCTAAATGTATTGTTGTCAAGGAAACACCCCTGCTTCCCATAAAGCAACAAGTTGGATGCTGTTTCACCCCTAGTGTGTTTCTTACAAGCAAACGGGGTGGGTCTGGAATGTTTCAATAGGTACTCTAGCTTGTCCTGATGTTGCCACCCTTCCTCCCATCAAGACCCACCAAATGACTACTATGGTAAAATTAAAATTAAAAGGCAAGAGTATGAAACAAAATTTAGCTCAGTGGTATAGACCAGGACTCTAACCCATCATCTTGTTCTCACTGCCACCATGTGTGGTATAAATAAAGCAAGTCACTAGGTCACCTGGGTGGCTCGGTTGGTTAAGCATCTGACTTTGGCTCAGGTCATGATCTCACGGCTTGTGGGTTTGAGCCCGTGTTGGGCTCTGTGCTGACAGCTTGGAGCCTGGAGCCTGCTTCGGACTCTGTGTCTCCCTCTCTCTCTGCCCCTCCCCCACTCACACTCGGTCTCTCTCTCTCTCTCTCTCTCTCAAAAATAAACATTACAGAAATTAAAAAAAAATAAAGCAAGTCACAGACATGGGACAAATCATCATGAGCTACAGTCAATATGACCTCTGAATTCACTTTTAATGGTACATTTAACCCACGATTCCACCAGCTACTAGCTATTAAGGTTTCCCAGTCACATCAACTACATAAACCAAGAAGTTGGCACCAATTTGCTCAGCTTATACTTTCCTTTCACTAGGTGATAATTTTGGGGGTTCAAGAAATTCTGTGTAATATAATATCCACTAATGAGATTTTGCTTGTAACTTCTACGATCTCTCAATGTTTTTCCTGCAAGAAATATAATAGAACAGCCCAAATCACACACTGTAGAACCAGAGAACTGATTCCAAATCTGAGTTTCACCACTTCTAATCGGTATGGCCTTGCGCTGACTTAACATCACACTTGGCCTCATTTTACTCATCTGTAAAATGGTAATAATATCTCCTTTTAGAGTTGTTTAAAGAATTATATGAGAAAAACATGGGGAGTACCTTTCAAAGTGCCTGGCACAAAGTTCCCAAAAAAGTACAAAATAAAAGCAAAAGAAAACTCACAAAAATGTATTCTAAATGCATCTCTAGCCCAATCCAAAGCTATATTGCTCTCTAAAGGCTAAATGCAAATCTCAGCTTTATGTATTAATTTTTTTAACATTTATTTATTTTTTGAGAGACAGAGAAAGACAGCTTGAGTGGGGGAAGGGCAGAGAGAGAGAGACGGAGAGAGAGAGAGAGACAGAATCCGAAGCAGGCTCCAGGCTCTGAGCTGACAGCATAGAACCTGACGTGGGGCTCAAACTCACAAACCTGGAGATCATGAGATCATGACCTGAGCTGAAGTCAGACACTTAACTTGACTGAGCCACCCAGGTGCCCCTTAATTCAGCTTTAAAGTAAAGCATATTCTAGTCATCTTGATGTAGCCTTGGGCAACGCAAGCACTAAAATGTGACGTATGGTACGTGAAAACCAGAGACAGACTAAGGTTTGAGTACTGGCTCCACCTTCCAACTGCTGAATACTTTTCAGAGAAATTCCTGAGTCTGCCTATGTTTCTGTTCCTAATCAGTGAAAAGAAGGGAATACGTTTCTTTCTATCTGACCTTTTGACCTTTTCTTTTTACCTTCAAGTTCTAATACAATGTAATTAGCCAATGGACCACAACCTTATCAAAAATCATCAAGATTAGATTTTTCAAAGATATTATGTGCATGTGTATGTATCTGAATATAACATTTCTCCCTTAAATTTAACAAAGTTAAAAAAGAAGTGATTCATGACATCAAAGCAAACAGAATGTGGCAGATTTTATGGAAGTCTGTCATTTATTAACAATTTCTTTTGGTTATCACTAGAGAAAGAAACAAATTATCCAGAAGGCTGAAAGTGCAAACAATCTTATACAGTTAATTAAGGGAAGACTATGAATCTAAGAAAATGTGTTCAGTGATAGACCCTTTCAGAGCATACTCTCCTATCAGCACAAAGCCAGCCTCTCTATTTAGGTTTTCTAAAACATAAACACACTTTTTTGTTAATTTACATTGTAAAGGCAACACTTTTTAAAAGCTTAAATGAATGATTTAATTATTTTAGTGTTTTACACAGATTTTAAATAGTCCTTTTTTTGTGATCCCTTTGCATTTCTTTACTATAAATGCTATAAAAATCTGAATGTCCAACATCTGTCAAATGAGGTAATGGATAAATGTTCTTTCTTTGGCATACTGAAGTTGAACCCCAAAATGCTAGAGGAACCTCAATGGGTTCCAGGAAGTGTAACATCCAGGAACAAAGCCCTGAAAACATTTTGCATACATAAATTATTTGAAATGATGTCAATGAACTGGAGAAATAAAACTACAAGTTACTTATACTTTTATATTACAAATTAGTTGGCAAACTAATGGTGCTATAATTTCCCACTTACAAGTAAGTGGTTTAGTCTCGAAAGCAAATGAAACGGCTCCCTTATGCTTTTATTTAACCTTATTTTCTTTCACTTTAAGAAAAAGCCCCAAATCAATGCAGCTTTTATTGCCTCTTTAAAATATCACAAGGAAGGCTGAAAAATCAGAAAAATCATGTGGCATCTTGCTGTTTCTGTAGCTGAACAACTTAGATCTTATTCATCAGCATGCTGGACTGTTCCTTTTTCAGAAACATAGATGCCATCCCAAAATTTTCCAATACCCTTGTTTTTAGCTGTTGCGGCTTGCTGAGTCAAAGCAGCTGAGTTTGATACAAATTCAACATCATTTCCTTCAAGAATTAACATATCTTTCCGGGTTTGAGATACTGAACAAGCAACACCCGGCCTCACCCAACCCTGTGGATGTATTTTTCACCCAAGAAATTTCAGATTTCAACAGGAGAAGGCTTCTCCTGAATAACAACATTGAAGGGGAAATGAGCATACACAGACCTCATCTTATAACAGAAGCCCAGCGTAACGCCCTTGACCACGTTCTGCACGTGACTACAGATAGTACAAATGGTAGCCAGTTCATTTCTATTTCCCCACCATTTGTCAACTCAGAGCCTCTTCTTTTTCCTTCCAAGAGACTGAGTTCCATATTGATGTGACTGAAGTCCTTCCGTACAGTTCCTCCGGGGACCTTCACTGTACCGGTGCATCTCTTCAGAATGATGTCAACATTCTCTGCGCTGTCGACGGTCTAATTACTGACAATGGTCTTCATTCTCACAGTAGATGCAGCAAAGAGTTCTTACGATTTAATTTTAAAGTCAAACTGAGGTTTAATGGGATTTCCTGGGACGCCCGGGTGGCTCAGTGGGTGAAGCGTCCGACTTCGGCTCAGGTCATGCATGATCCTGTGGTCCATGAGTTCAAGCCCCGCGTGGGGCTCTGTGCTGACAGCTCAGAGTCTGGAGCCTGCTTTGCATTCTGTGTCCCAGCCTGTCTCTGCCTACCCCCCACTCGTGTTCTGTCTAGCTCCCTCAAAAATAAATAAGTGTGAAAAAAAAATGTTTTTAAAGGGATTTCCCGATATGGTAGAATGCAAGGATAGTTCACCTTTCACTGCTTTTTTTCCCCAAGAGCTTCATCATCTTAGTGTATTTCTTACATCTAAACTTAAAAGTCAAGGTGGAAGCAACCCAAGTGTCCAACAATAAATGAAGGTGGTGCTTATATATAAAATGGCATTATTACTTAGTCTTAAGAAGGAAGGAAATCCTAAAAAACCTAATAAAAGAAATTCTGACATGTGATTTGAATGAATGAATCTTGAAGACATTATGCTAAGAGAAGCAAGCCAGTCACAAAGGGACAAATACTGTATGATTCCATCTACATGAGGTTCTTAGGAGAGTCAAAATATATATATAGACACAGACAGCGGAATGGGTGCCAGGGGACAGGGAGAATGGGTATTTATTATTTAATGAGTGCACAGTTTCAGTTTGAGAAGATGAAAAACTACTGGAGATGGCTGGTAGTGACAAGCTGTGCAACTATGTGAATGGACTTATTGTTACAGAAATACGCACTTAAAAATATTGAAAACGGTCAATTCTGTATATCCTGTATGACGCTAAAAAATGATATAGCCTGACATACTAAAATAGAGCAAGCAAAAAATCCACATGATTGTCTCAACAGATGAAGAAAAATATTTGACAAAAGTCAACATCCTCTCAGCAAACTAAAAATAGGCAAGCAATCCAAGGGGTCAGTTTGTAAAATCAGGTATACTCACACCATGGTTCTTACAAGAGTCTCCCAACTGCTTCCAATATAATCTACCAGCCTGTGCCAGAATGATCTTGAAACGCAATCAGATCCTGTCCCTCTTCTGCCCTTAGCAACCACCTCCGGTAGGAACCTAAAGCAGGAGGGTGTTAGGACAGACGTCCTGTGTCCCGCACAGGAACCCCTCCAGCAACCGTATCCCACCTATCATTTCTTCAGCTTCAATTCTCACTCTGCCCACTGTCACACCCCACCTCATCCATGCCACAGAAACCAGTCATGTTTCACATCACTCTGCCTCAGCTCTAGCAGCTTCCGATTTTTCCCCATCCCTCAGTTATGTGATAAAAATCTCCCCTTTGCAATCTTTCTAAACTCCTCGACACTCAGAGTAGGCATCAGTTATTCCTGCTAAGCTTTCAAACGTTCTTTATATGAGTGTCTATCATAGTGTGTAGACTATCTTAATGCATTTAGGATTCTATATGTTGATTTTCTTACTCTCTAAAACTCATGTTCCTTGAAGAAAGTGATTAAAGCATGCTATCTATGCATGGTGGTGAGAATACAGAAGACAATAAGTGTTTGATAGTTGAATAAATAAATACACTAGAATAGGGGTTTTCACATGGGCTTTGCAAAACCTCTGCCTTACAAGTTAGTCAAAAAATTGGGTTCCGTGGCCAATGAAATGTGAGAAATGCTGCATTCTATAACCTCTTCTTAGAGATCCACAGTGCACATCTGAGTGCCGAAGATTCCAAGAAGTATTTTTTGCAAACAAAAATCTGTCTCCATACGTGTATCACATTCCAGACCTCTAAACTTGTAGCCCATTTACACGCCTATGAACATCCCACAGAACTAGTATTCAAAGTAACACGCTTTCCTTCCAGGGGTGTCTGGGCGGCTCACTCATTTAAGCATTGTACTTCGGCTCAGGTCATGATTCCAGGGTTCATGAGTTTGAGCCCCGCATTGTGGGTTCTCTGCTGTCCGTGTGGAGCCTGCTTCAGATCCTACGTCTCCCTCTCTCTGTGCCCCTCCCTGCTAGCTCTCTCTCTCTCTCTCTCAAAAAAAAAAAAAAAATTTAATGGGGGGCGGTGCGCCTGGGTGGCTCAGTCAGTTAAGTGTCCAACCCTTGATTTCAGCTCAGGTCATGATTTCACAGTTTGTTAATTTGAGCCCCGTGTGGTGCTCCATGCTGATAGTTCGGAGCCTCCTTGGGATTCTCTCTCTCTGCCTCTCTCTCTCAACTCAAAATAAATAAGTAATAAAAATTAAAATAAAATAAAATAAAAAAACATAAAAAACCCCAAAGTAACATGCTTTCAGAAACCCTGTATTACCAGATGAAATATTTCTGACACATTTAGATACCCGTAATATCTGTCTCATAATTAACACATTAATAGGAAGCTCTGTAGCTTAAGTTCTATGTTACTCTACCAAATACAATATATAAGAAATATTGTAACTACGGAGAAATTCTCTGCTATAACTCTCCATTTAGCTGCTGTTAGCAGTACCTGGCTGCCACCGAATGGAACAACATCCTGGAGACAGAGACTGGAATCCCACTCAGCAAGTAAGCGCTGTTTGGCTTCTCCACCAAGTCTCAGATTTAACAAGGAAACAATACTCCTCCGTAAGATACCAATGCAGAGGAAACTGCCTGGTCCCATGACAGAAGAACATCACCTCTGATGTGGAGCTAAACAGAGTGTCTCGGGCCACGACTGGGCATCCAGAGCAACTAATTTATGATCCTATTTATCAGCACCAAGCGCTAGGGACAGAGCTGAGTCATCAACTCAAAAGCCTGTGCTCTGCCTGCATACGGTTTTAGCTACTGTAATTGGGACCGCATGTCTACAGGAAATCTTCTTTGTCCGATTCAGAAAGTTTTATGACTGTTCACCAAATGCAACCCTTTATGGGTAAAAGAGGACGCGAAAACCCTGCCACCTGGGAAGAAATACTGAATAACTTGCATTTATAGTTCGGTGCTGGCACACCTGGCTGTCTTTTTAGTCTTTATTTCAGTGAATGAGAGAAATTAAACACAAACTGACTTATGCATAACTGGTAACATTCAAAGAAACTAATAATTTACTTTTTCAAAGAATTTGAAATTCCAAATTGCTGACTTTTCATTTTCTAAGAATTCCTTTTCTGATTTGCTGTTTCATACACAAACAGTTCGTATATCTGTTCTTGAAAGTAAATGATGCTCGTGAATACTCTTAAATAATTAAGAGAGTGAGGGATTTAGGCTAGTCTGAAGTAAACAAACCTATTAACCATTTCAGGAAAAATAAAGAGTACATAAAAAGAGAAACCATAAAAACTATAGGAAAATTTGTAACACCTTTTTTATCACCTACAGCCAACAATGCTGAAACCATGTCTGATATTTTATCTTTGGCAAGAGGGTTGAAGAGGCAAGATATATGTGGAAAGGAAGGGACTTACCTAGGCTAGAATTGCCTTTTGCTATAGTAATAGTCCTCTCAAAAGATTCGTTGGTTATATTTTGGAGCATGACGCACTCAGCAGTTGAGGTCAGGGAGTTCTGCTGAATTAAGAACTCGGAGCCCTGACAGGAAAAAAATAAATAAATAAATAAATAAATAAATAAGTCACATGGAAAGGAAAACAAGACTTTGGAGTATGATTTCAACATCACCCATATTCTCTAACTGGTTGCGCTTTCTTCAGCAGGAAGCTATAACCAAAACAAGTTCATAGGTTGGATTCTGAAAATCTCAGCGTCAAGAGAGCACTTGCTCCAAATGCAGAGACCAGCCTGAATCCTCGACCATGTCACTGCTTCCAACCTCATCATAATATACGATACATATCTTTACAACGTTACCTTTCCAGCTGAATCAGGAAGCACAGAAGTAAGCTCTGCACTGGATGTCATTTCAGTTGGCAGGTGAGATTCAGTCCATGCTCTCGAGTTCTCACATTCGTATTGCTGTTCAATAGCATTTGCAGGTGTATAATCATTTACGGTAAAGCCAGAGGCAGGTCCCATGGTCAAGTCCACTGAAGGTGGACTCTCGTCCTGTCTTTGCAGGAGATTCTGGGTGTACAGTTCCTCCAAGGACATGTGCAGATCAAGTACTGGATCTGAAGAATTCTCAGTAACATCCTGATGATGAAAGAACAAAAGATAAAAAATCATGGCCAGAGACATCAATGTATTTTTGTAAGACCATTTCTTAATGAATAACTATCTGGTAGAAAACAAAACACAATTATGCATTACCCAAAAAGTATTAGCAAACATACAAATTCTTCACTTAGCTAACATTCTGTAGATGTTTATTTTTATAATGCTTTTGAATACATTTCCCACAAATCATAGATGTTATGTTCAACTGAGTTATTCTTGTATACTGTACACGAGATCACTGAAATACAATATTATATTCTATTTACAAATAAAATTATTTTTAGTTCAATCCGCACAGGAAGGCAAGTAACTTGTATTTTCAAATCCTATTTAAACAGCAGTTCATTTTCAATCAGTACGAAGTTCCTATTTAATATCAAGAGAATATTGATTCTGATTTACAAGAATCTCCATGAAAAAATTATTTTGATAGTCACTTGTAGGTATTTATGGAGAACAGAAAGCTATGTTATTCAAATTATTATAGGGAAAATTTTCATAAATATTCTGCAAGATATACACAGGAAATATTAAGAAGGTATATAATAAGGTATAGGTTCTAAAGTAGGCTCTCTTATTAGCAATCTATATACATCACCGCAGAACCTCTCTTGGCTTTATACTTTACTTAATTTCTAAAATTCCCTGAAACTTTAAAATTCGGCACTTCGACATAAATGCAGGCATGTACTTACAACAGACATACGGTATCACTTGTGTGCTTTGGGCAAGCCGTTGCTACACGAACTACTAGTGAACAAACACCAATTTTCCCTACAATCCTCATATTAATATTTTTAAAGTATAAGAGTAGCATATGAATACATTATCATCAGCAAAGATTCAAGCCGTGCAGATATATACGTGTGTGCTTACAGAGTACGATCTGAAAGCTTTTCCTTATGGCTCCTACTCCCATTATTTTCCCTGGTAGAAATGGCTGGAGTCAGTTGGATGTCTGTCAGAAGTTTGTGTTTATTTGCATAATAAACAGATACACACACACGTGCATACTCACACTTACTACCTGCACTTGTACATTTTTAAAACCTCACTGAAACCATTAGTTAAATAGAATGTTTTCACTTTCTTTTTTTTTTTTTTAATTTTTCAATGTTTATCTATCTTTGGGACAGAGAGAGACAGAGCATGAACGGGGGAGGGGCAGAGAGAGAGGGAGACACAGAATCGGAAACAGGCTCCAGGCTCCGAGCCATCAGCCCAGAGCCTGACGCGGGGCTCGAACTCACAGACCGCGAGATCGTGACCTGGCTGAAGTCGGACGCTTAACCGACTGCGCCACCCAGGCACCCCTGTTTTCACTTTCTTTATTGAAGTACCTAATATCTGGGCAGGAGAGATTTCCATGTCCGTAAATAAAAATCGACTTCGATCTTGTGACCACAAAACTATTCCTAAGTATGAAAGGCACTGGAGCACAGACTCTGGAGCACAGGCTCAGATGCTCACTGCATCACTAGTTATACTCTGTGTCGTGGTCCCCTCATCTACTAATTGGGGAAAATAAAAGGACATATTTCAGGACTGTTGGGAGGACAAAGAGAGTTAATACCACAAAGTACTGGGACACCTGGGTGGCTCAGTTGGTTGGGTTAAGCATCTGTCTCCCAGTCAGGTCACGATCTCGCGGTTTGTGAGTTCAAGCCCTGCGTTGGCTCTGTGCTGACAGGTCGGAGCCTGGAGTCTGCTTCAGATTGTGTGTCTCCCTCTCGCTCTCTGCCCCTCCCCCACTTGTGCTCTCTCTCTTTCTCTCTCTCTCTCTCTCTCAAAAATAAACATTAAAAAAATTTAAAATAATACTATAAAGTACTAATAAGATATCTGACTTAAGAGAAAATGCCCAATAATTATTAGCCATTGCTGTTATCTTTATTACACATCTTTGTGCATATGAGAAAATTTATTTAGTATAAACTAGAATTATGGGCCGAATAACATGCACACTTAGATGCTGGTATATACTGCCAAAGAGTCTTCCAATTTTTGCTCACAAAAATATGGGAATACCTATTAACTGACCTTGCCAACCCTAAATTAGTTTGCTAATTTGAGCTGAAAGAAATATATTCTAAATAAATATAAAATTTAGAGTTTACTATGCATGTCCCTGACAATTAGTGAGAACGTGACAACTGTATATCTCCTGTCAATACTCCCTTCATATATTTAATCCAACTTTTCATAAGTTTCATCAGGGTTTCCACTTGTTCCTGTCATTGATACACTGTATATGAAAAGTCTGTGATATATACCACAAATATTTCTGAGTCTTTACTTATCTTCTCAGCCTGTACATGTTATATAGATATACATGCAGAAATTAAATTCTTTATGTAATCAAGAATTCTTTATGGAAAAAAAATTTTTTTTTTTATTAAAAAAAATTTTTTTTAACGTTTATTTATTCTTGAGACAGACAGAGACAGAGCATGAACGGGGGAGGGGCAGAGAGAGAGAGGGAGACACAGAATCGGAAGCAGGCTCCAGGCTCTGAGCCATCAGCCCAGAGCCCGACGCGGGGCTCGAACTCACGGACCATGAGATCGTGACCTGAGCTGAAGTCGGAGGCTTAACCGACTGAGCCACCCAGGCGCCCCTTTATGGAAAGAAATTCTCGATGCAATCAAAGTGTCAAATTATTTTTGTGCTTCTGGGTTTCGTAAGTTGCTTAATAAATCCTTCCACACAAAGTAAATGAAATGCTTTCTAGTATTTTTCTTATTTATAAATGCTTTCTTTTCAGATTCAGTTTTAATCCTTCTAGAATTGATTGCAGGGTGTGGCAAGAGATATGGGTCCCTTTCTGTTTTTCATAAAAGGGTAATCAATTTTTCCAATACAGTCCATTACATTCCTCTTCTTCAGTGTAAGTTATCATCTCTCTGGAATTATCAAATATTCTTGGTACAAAGAACTGAGGCAAGTGGGAGCATCACACAAGCAAGTAACACCTTTAGACTCTTCGGGAACAATGACAGGAAACCATCATCCTCCACACAGTTGGAGTCTAACCAATAACCTGTTGGCCCATTCACCCAACTTTGGTGATTTTGTTCTAATGAAAAACAACAATGCACTTACTACAGAATTAGCTTCTGTATTACTATATTAATTATAATATTTAGCAGTAAATCATCTTCCTCAGGCCTCAAATAAAGGTTACAATTAAAAACCACTTTTCATCACAAAAAGAGGTCAAGCCACCCTTGTTAGCTGGGGTTTACTATAAATCGTGTAACAGAAATTTCCATGCATTATTCATAAAGGAGTTAACACAGACACACAGAAAAGAAAGAGCTAATCAACACAGCAGACAACATACGCCTACTTCAGAAACGTTTCTGGTTGCTGAACAACCAACTGAGTTTTATTTTTAAAAAGTCTTATGGATCTAAAAGAAAAGCAGCTCTTCCCCTGTAAGATGTTCAAAAATAATGCTATAATTTCCCAGTGCAACTTGGTAGCTAAACCGAAGTCTTGCAAAAAACCTGCATTAATATGTGCCTCTACTTGATACGGCCTTGTTCTCAGGGAAACAAAATGAGAGGTTAAATAAAAATGTCAAGGACACTTGTAAACCGCCGTTTAAAGGTGATGAATAAGTGAGGATAATACCTGGGCACATTATTTACTCAGATGATTTATTTATATAGACTAAGTAAATACTGAAACATTTACTGGACACAACCTACTGTTCTCAATGAGCACTCTACCACAAAAGCCGTTTCATAGTCTTTTCATGTGGGAAAATATACTACAAGCACAGCTGCCCCAACTTACCATCATTCCCCCACCCTTTCTGAGATAAGGTATAGTGCTTCCTTTATTGTTCGTACACTGACCCGACTGAGCAAAAGAAGCGACTGGTTTTATACCTTGAGAGCCTGTCGGTTTGTCACTAAGACTTCCACAATCACTCTCAGCATTCTGACTGGAGTGCTTTAGTTAGTTTTTCATGCTAACCCCTGCTCCAAAGAAAGAAACAAACATTTTAAATATGGGTGTGAAGGCAGCAACATTTAATACTACAGAATGACTCTAAATGGAGATCTATAGGAATAGGTAGATTTTTATTTTTTGTTAATTGTTTTTTTTTTTTGAGAGAGAGAGAGAGAGCACAAGCAGGGAAGAGGGGCAAAGGGACACACGCAGAGAGAGAAAGACAGAGAGAGAAAGAGAGAAACAGACAGGAGAGAGAGAGAGAGAGAGAGAGAGAGAGAGAGAAGCCCAAGCAGGCTCCACACTCAGCACAGAGCCCAACAGGGGCTTGATCTCGGGACCTACTGTGGGATCGTGATCTGAGCCAAAATCAAGAGTCAGATGCTCAACTGACTGAGCCACCCAGCTGCCTCAGATTTTACTTTATGTTTTTAAATCATGGAATCCATTAGCTGTGTTTTATGTGCATGGTGCAAGAAGGGGCTTCTCTCTGGACAAACACCAAGTTTCCCTTGCACTAGAATCAACAGCATTTCCTAGTGGGACCAATATGAAGAATGAAGGGCATGCACAAAAGTGGTAATCATTTCATCCCTGGGGTGAGAGCCAGTGTGGATGTAAAACAAAGGGCGGGGCATGGGAATGTGGATAAGGAGTAGAAAGGAAGACTCCTTTCTATATAAGTATTCTATAAGTATATGTAAGTACGTATGTATTCTTATATAAGTATTTGATCTTTATTGGGTGTATTTAAAAATCCAAAACAGGAAAAAATAAATGAAAGCATCCTCTTCCCAAAACCATGTTGAGCTTTTAAACAAAAGTCTACAAGCACTTAAGTTTGTAAAACAATTATTTCTGCATTTTGTTATGTCTGTGAAGGTGACAAGGAAAAGGGGATAAAAAGAAAAAAAAAATCAAACCTATAACAATGAGAAAATCCACTGGGTTCTGGCCACTCAAATTCACACTTCAATGACCTTCCTCTGTTAGTCCAGATGCCATAGAAGTAGCTGGACAGTATTTTTCAGATTCCTGAGTAATGGTTATTTTCCTTGAACTGTTATATGATAATCAAATTAAGCAAACACCACTCCTTCAAAAATAAAAATCAGAATGGGCTCCCAGATGGGAGAATTTGGGGCAAAGGAGCTCCAAGGTGTGCCTCCAGGCCTTGGTATCCAAGCTGCTGGCCAGGCCCACACAATGCTTGTAGGAGTCAGGCCTTCCCCTAAGAGGACTCCCCGCTCTGGATGATTAGTTCTTACAGCTTCTGGTAGCATACATGACCACGGTCAAATACTTCTCTCTCATCAAGGTAAGAGGAAAGGTGAAACTATTTGTGCATTTCCAACCACCAAGATTATTACATAGCTAACAAAGTAAAGTCAAAACTGTGAGCAATCACTGAGATCCTCACACTCTATTTTATACTTCTTTCAAATCAGTATGGAGGCTCTGCTGTCTTAAATATCATATACTGTATGATTTTATCTTATCAATTAAAGGATTCCAAAGTGAACTCGTTTTTAAGAAAAATGGCCAGTTCTGGGGGGCCTGGGTGGCTCAGTCGGTTAAGCGTCCGACTTCAGCTCAGGTCACGATCTCGCGGTTTGTGAGTTCGAGCCCTGCGTCGGTCTCTGGGCTGATGGCTCAGAGCCTGGAGCCTGCTTCCGATTCTGTGTCTCCCTCTCTCTCCCTCTCCCCCGTTCATGCTCTGTCTCTCTCTGTCCCACAAATAAATAAACGTTAAAAAAAAAAAAAAAAGAAAAATGGCCAGTTCTAAATTCCATGTCAAATTGCCATGCTGTCTTTTTTTTTTTTTTTAACATTTATTTATTTTTGAGACAGAGAGAGACAGCATGAACGAGGGAGGGTCAGAGAGAGAGAGGGAGACACAGAATTTGAAACAGGCTCCAGGCTCTGAGCTGTCAGCACAGAGCCCGACGTGGGGCTCGAACTCACGAACCGCAAGATCATGACCTGAGCCGAAGTCGGATGCTTAACCGACTGAGCCACCCAGGCGCCCCAACCATGCTGTCTTTTTAAAATAAATTTAGTGCAAAGAAACAGGAAGATGGATGCATCATCTGGTTTTTTATTTATGTACAATTTTCTAGTAAATATCTTGGTACTATGAAGATGCCATAAAACAAAAACAAAAATAAAAAACAATGCTGCAGTCATTTACCACGATGCAGAAACAGTCCTACTTGCTAAGAAAAACTGAAAGCACACAGGAGTTTCTCAATGTGTTTTAAAACACCCTCATTAATGTCTTCTTTGTTGTTTTGTAGTTTAAATATTTCAGTTGATAGGCCAGCTTGCCAAAATTTGCTTCAACAAAAGAGTAAACTGCTTAGGGAGAAAAAAAAAAAAAAAAGGAGGCAAATAGACTTCAGTAAGCCAATATGGTGTGCTGCATACAGCCAGCATTTGCCCTGTAAAATATATGCTTCTCAGTATGCAGATTGTGTAATCCCTTTAAGTAACAATTACTAAGTTAAACAATGCAATCTGTCCCGCTGGCAAGAAGAAGTGTGCTATGCTGTGGATTAGGAGAGTCCATTAGGAGATGAACTCAGCTTCCAGCCCTGAGGTCAGTAAAGACTGAACACGTTCCAGACAGGACGTGGTCACACAGACCGTCTCAGGTGTGGTGAGAGAGGAGCAGCTGCTCCATTCAAGATTATACCTTGCAAACCAATTCAAGGAGATTTCCCAGCATCATTTGCAAGGGTAACAGGTGCACCTTGAACGTGAAAGAAAATGCTTTGAAAATGTTCTGGCCAAAAAATTACTTGTTAATCAGGAAAGGAGGAAAAGTGTGCTAGACTCACGGAAATTCTGCTCTCCATCTTGTTCAAAAATACAGATCTCCTTCCCACTGAATTTATGTGGAAAACAGATGTTTCCTATATTTAAGTAAGTTATTGTCCAGTCTTTTTATCTTCGTTTTTAATGTTTATTTATAGTACATTTCCAACATAGAAGAATAAGGAAAATATATCCATATATGAACTCTTGGCCCGGATTTAACCGATGTTAACATTTTGCCATATTTTCTTCAATCTCTCTTTCCTCTTAAAAGGATATAATTCATTACAGATACAGCTGAATTCCTACGCTTCCTTCTTTCTCAAAGAATAAATTGTTTCCTGAAGTTAAAAAATGTCATTTCCCACACACACTCACACACAATCCTCATAAAATACACTGTATTGTTTTGTCTACCGGTTTCTAGAAAATATTTTTAAAAACCCAACGAATCAATAGAAAGATAGGCAACACAATATAAAAATTGTCAAAAGATATTAAGAGGCCATGGATAGGAGTGAAAACCAAATGGTCAATATATGAAATGGTGTTCAACCCCACTAGAAATCAGAACTCCAAATCCAAATAGTAAGATACCATTTCACATCCAGAAGATTGGACAGGTTTTAAAATATTACTTATTAAACCTTATAAAGTACCTCACCAAGAAAATGAATGGAGTTGGGGCACTCGTGCCAATACTCTATTTCTAAAATATACTTGGCACAGATATGTCAAATAATAACTAAATTCTTCATCCAGTGACGTTTAAACATACTTTGCCATTCACTGTGATTTCTACATAAAGTATTTTTGGCATCATTTTACACAAAAACATATAACAGCATTAAATTTAACTTGCTGGTAAATATTAATGCAAGAAACATTTACCATCCAACTCTGCATGAAAATCAATTTTAAAACCATTAAGAAAATAAAGTTATACTTGTGATTTTTCTAAAGTAGACACAGCTAAAAACACAATTTGAGAAATACATTGACTTTTTTCTTTCTAACATGCAAATCCTAATCAAAGCTTTGAATCCTTGGGTCTATCATTCTGTAAAACTGAACAATTTAGGTAGTACTTAGGAGTCTAGTAAAAGATGCTCAATCAGCACTACCTGAATGAAACTGCGCTTTAGTCTGAATGAATCCATGACTGGAGAAACACAGTGCCTCTAACATGCTACTCCCACAATTGCCCATAAACACTGACCTCTGGAAAATGACACGGAAGGCTCTCCCATAAATAAAATGACAATCTCTTTGTACCTTGGGAGGAGAAGATGGAAGGGAGGGACCATAGTTCAGGCCATCGCTACAAGCACTGCCATGAAGAGATAAAATAGAGGCTTGAGTGGAGTAGATACTGTCATTATCAGGAGAGTACTGAGACTCAAATGTAGATTCATCTGCTAAGTCAGCCTCATTTGTGTCCACCTAGGAACAAAAATGATAGTATCGGTTGGAAATTCTGTTCTGTTACATATACAAGTCTCTACTTGAGACTAAAAAGCATCCCGGCATTCATTCTATCTCCTACATGACCCCTTCACACTCTACGACACATCAGAGACCGACTAACGCAAGAGAGTAAGGACAAATCAGGGCTGGCATCAGTTATTTATTCCAACAATAAAAGGGCAAAGGTAACAATTAACAAATGGCCTGGATCAATTCTAAGTTTAAAAAGTTCCATAAATTAAGGAAAATATTTACTTTTTCCAGTCACACTATTTTAAAAAATACCTGCCCGACTCCTAGAACTGTCTAATAAAATGAATGAGGTCAACACCTTCCCTATTCAACTAACATAAACTCAACAAGTTTATTAGATTTTATTAAATTTATTAAAGTTTATTAGATTTTATTTATGTAAGTTGAATTAAATTTCAGCAAGGCATACAGGCAAATATCTATTTAGAAAACTCACTAAAACAATATATTTTAAATTATTTTTAACTAGATTTTAAAACCATTCAAATTGCAAACTCAGAACCTGATGGTGATCATCAGAAACCAGAAAGAGTATCTGTGGTTTCAAGCTGAAATTATACTAACAAGGGGCCTGACTATGGCTGTGGGGAAGCTATAAAGTTATAAACTCCTATTGTTGGAAAACTCATAGAAAGTAGAGAATTTGACTGTATATTAACTCCTGTTACTATTGGGGCACCTGGGTGGCTCAGTTGTTTAAGCATCCGACTCTTGAATTTTGGGTCAGGTCATGATTTCAGGGTTCGTGGCACTGAGCCCCACATCAGACGCTGTGCTGACAGTGCAGAGCCTGCTTGGGATTCTCTCTCTCTCTCTCTCTCTCTCTCTCTCTCTCTCTCTGTCCCCTCCTTGCTTGTGCTCTTTCTCAAAATAAACTTAAAAAACAAAACAAAACAAAAAACCCCAACTCCTATTAATATCTTCTGTAGCAGAACGAAGTGAAACAATCAACTCATGAAGAGTCTGAAGCTCCATTTACAATTCACTTACAGTTACACCTTAGAATACATAGAACTAACATAAATACTACTCTTCTCCAATATTACCAGTATTTTCTGTCTTGATGGCAAAATCCCTGGTGTTCTACTTCTTTGTGATTTCAACTTACATGTGTTTTGCCAAGAGAAGAATTATAACATTATACCAGGTCACATTCTTACAAAAACATGGTAAGAACACAGGCCATTTCCAAGTGACCCTCTTTCTAATAATACATTTTAAATATATGTTCAAAATTCATTAGTTAACTGCTTTGTTGAGTTTTACTCTCCACAAATACACATCATATAGAACAATCTAGATAATAAATAACACTGCTATCTAGATAGATGGTATTAACTAAGCTTTGTGCAATGGATTCTTAATATTGTAATGTGATACTGTTGCATTTAATATACACCAAAACTTTCCAAAAGGCAATTTTAGGAGCTGGTTAATATAAAAATATTAACAAGGAGAACTGTCTCCCCAGAATTGGAATTATCAAAATCAAATAATTCATACTTTGTTTTAAAGCAAGATATGCACAATTGGTTATAAGTACATAATGGAGAATGTCATGGGTTTTAAACCTTGCTCTAGTCTGATGCCCTGAAACAAGAATTTAAAAAGTTGGGCATATTCCTTTGTAGTCACACAGGGCAATGTCTGCCCAAAAGAAAAGTTAGGTCAGGAACCTGGCTTTAATAGAAGTAATGCAATAGGATGTACAATCTGTTATATTTATGTTGTATAAATGCCACATGTTTATTTATATCTAGTATTTACCTTTATATTTTAATTATTGCTATAGTATTGTCTCCTCTACCAGACTGTAAAGTTCTTAGGAGCAAGGTTCATGTGTTTATTTGTCAAAGTGACCTCCAGTGGTCCACAAATACATTTACTCCAACAAATAATTTTTACATAGACCAAGTAAAAATAAAATTTTAATTAAAAATTTTCTAGCAAATCAGTGATGTTTACATTCTGTAATTTGAGAAAACATGGATTTTGACTATTTTGGAAACTTTTGTGTTCTTAATAACTGCATCAATTGACATATTTTCACATTATTTAAGTATCAAATGGAAAAAATACACTTGTTAACCTTGTTAACAGGTAGCCAAAACACCTGATTAATGACTGAATACTAAAAACAGTTACATAAATGCCTAGAAATGGCCCAAGTATGAAATTAAAACAATCGGGTGTTTCAACAACTTTTGGTATGACGTGAAGATTAATTCTACCAGTTGTCAGAATGCATTGCCAACTGAATTTCCTCCCCAAATCCAACAAACAGTTTTCACACATGATTTCTGAACTATGAGAACCACTGCAGTTGAAATTAAAGTGTTTACTTTTTCCAAAACGTCATGAATAATGAGTAGAGTAAGATTTTAGACTATTTTGAAAGGCAAAACATAAGACTCATAAGATTTCTGAAAGAAAGCTTGATAAGTTGTGGCCACTAACCAGAGCCAAGTCAGCCCTGAAGAGGGCTTTGTCAGCCAACCCTTCCTCCTTGCAGGAGTGTGGCGAGTAGAGAAAGGAATCTTCCTTAGCAGAAACATAACCTTCTTCTGGTGAAAGCTGCAGGGAGAATGAGGCTCAGTGTTTGAGGATGAGGATGAGAGAGAACAGCAAGGAGGAAAGAAGGAAAGCAGGGGAGGGGGACAGGAGAAGAACAGTCAGAAGAGAAGAGGAAAAGGAATGGGAAAGTTTTCAAATGGTAAATATTCATATTTAATGTTTTGATTTGTGAAACACAACAAGGATATTTCTTCTAATACCAACACATCAACTGTTAAGTGAGAATCCCTTCTAACTTTTTCATTCTTCTTATAAAAGACCATCCAAATCAATGATTTTTTGTATTATAGTAATCTTCTGGCCATTTTTATCTGCCAAATATTCTGGCTACACAATGACTTCTTAATATAAAAATAAGTAAGGCACTTTTTAGGTGTTAAGATATAAAGGAAGCTGCATGAAAAAAAAAAGAACATTAAAAAGAAGGATCAACTTCTAGCTGTCATCCTTTACTAGAACACGATTATAAAGCATGTGATTTACTTGACAAGGAATGTGAGTGAACTCTACAGTGAAGCCTCTCAATTGAGCATGGTTTAAAAAAACACACAAAAATTCTCTCTGTAGACAATCTGCTTATATTATAGACCCAATATAAGGATATTGTAACTGATCACACTGACAGAAAACCTAACATTTTTATTTCAATCTCAAATAAAATACGCTAAAATCTTCAGATTGCCTTGCCCACATCACCCTGTATTAGTAACATGCAGAACTTGCCTCCTTTTCTCTGTTTTCATAAATATATTTTCATAGGCTACCAAAGTTCACTTTGTAATACAAAGTGAGGCATGAAAAATTTAATTAACATTGCAAATATATTCATAAAGCTTACTATTTCAACAAACGCTTTCATAAAGTCAGCAAATTGCTATTTGATGTTTAGGCAAATACACCTCTGTGTTTGTGTTTTAAGAAAGGTGTATTTGCCCTTTCACTTAAAATAGATTTATACACTGAAAAAGCCCTCCAAATATTGAGAATGTCTCTAATATTTATTTGCAATTCAGTGATAAGTGCTATGTTGTAATCATTATACCTAATAAACATACTGACGTTATGTAGCATAAACTGATTAGTTGTTTTTAATACTGTACTAATTAATAACAGGAGGGCTATTCCCTCCCAGGAGGAGAGCCAGAAGCTGATGAACCTACTGTGAAAAGTTCAATTTCTTGCTCTGCAGTAATTAGACAAGAAATGTGTTGAAATCAACAGAATGCAGGACCTTAAACCACACTGACAGAGATTCTACTTTATTCCACTATAATTAAAGATTCCACTGTCAGTTGTTAATGCTATTAATTTCTCTAATACCCCACTACATTGGTATAGATGTTTTAAGGCATATTTCTTTGAAAATACTCATTTGATACTCATCGTGACCTTATTACCCAATAAAAAAAGATCAAAAGTGAACTACAAAACTATAATTTTAAAGTTACAAATTTATTTCTGAATTGTCAGTTTTCTTCACTTTTTAAAAAAAAATTACTCAAAATTAAACTTTATACTCATAGAGCCAATAACCATCTTGGTCAAAATTACCAAATGTCATGATTCATTCACGAGAACACCTTCTGAAGCTAACAGTAGGCCTGAAAGCCATTTTGTTTACAAATTTTAAAAAATCAGTAAAACATGAATTCTTACAGGTAAAGGCTTGGCTACTCCAATTCTCACAGTTCCTGACGGCGCACCCTTCAGCGCCTGCACAGCTTCCTCAAGACTGCTGTTTTCCAAGTTAACATCATTGACAAACATGAGTCGATCTCCAGGAAGAAGTCGACCATCCTTTTCGGCAATGCCCCCAGGCACCAAAGAACGAATTACAATCACAGTGCTTGCTGGATCAATGGGATCCTGACAAAACGAGGGGAAAAAAAAAAATTAGGTAGCTCCTTTTTACATGGGGGTTGGTGGTGGTGGTGGTGTGGGAGTTTTTATAGATTGGTCACTCTGAATTGTAATGGATGGGTACTCATTTCAAATGTCTCAAAAAAGAATTTCAAGCACCACTTCTGAGGAATGAGTGGGGCAAAGGCTGTCTCCGTTTTGCAGAGTGCAGAAGGAGTTCCCCCTGAAGGACGGCATCCTCAAGTACCAAGCTGTTCCTCAGGAGACCTCATCACTGTACAGATCCCTTTAAACTTGTAATTTGAATTTTCGATAAGCTGCCCAATTTTATAACAGGCTTTTGAGGCCAGACATCAGATACAGGATTATTAACAGCGTTTGTTAAGTAGGATGCTACTGCTGTGGAGTGTACTGAATGACGGTCAGGCCTGCCTTCTTGAAATGAAGACATCTAGAAAGAGTCCGTACAGTAGTGTGTGACGATGCAGCGTTCAGATACACAGCAACAAGGCTCTGCAATCAAGCCCCATGAAGAACACAACTCCCATGAGTCCTCAGAGATGGCTCTCCGGTTCAGTATTAATTAATGAGAAGCAACAGCTGTGCTCTCGCACCCGGCATAAGCATTTCCTCAGTTACTCAGCACAGAACACAATGCAGGGTAAGGGTGGAGGCCACACTTGACCAATGTAAGCTTATTCATAAATTTAGTCATTTAGTCAAATGACAGGAATCCATATCCAGTTAGAACTCAGTCATTCACTACAGACAAAAGAAATAAGTATTTAACACTTTCAGTCTTACCACTAAAGTATGAACTATCAATTATGAGCATGGGAATAAGAATAATTTAGACATACTCCCCAAATAACAACAACAACAAAAAACTATTTCTAGGATATTCCTAAAATGTATTTGTAAGCTCTTCAAATTCTCAAAGCTGAAATCTAGAAGAGCTCAATGAATTCAATGTTAAAAGAACCCTTCATGATAAATGAATACTATATATCATCATTTGGAAAGATTTGCTAGAAACAAGGAAATGTCTTTGAAAACTAAAATATTAACTGATTTTTCTATTATCCACAATATACCTTTAGTATTGTATCATTTTTTTAAAAAAAATTGTTAAAAACAGGATATATTTACCTGATAATCTAAGATGCTAAACCCAAGTCCTTTGTTTCCTTTCTCCAGCTCGATATGCTGAACATCAGCCTCCCACATGGCCAAAGGTCCTTGAACCTCTGCCGCATTCTGACCCACGTCGGTCATCACCAGCGCAGGATCCTCTGTCTCCGAGGACCCGGTGAACTCGCCCAGATCTACGTGCGGCTGCGTAACAGACAGGGCAGCTCTTATTTCAGAGGCACTAGTTTAGCAGACACATACCAACACTATAAGGGAAAGGGAGAGGCCCCGCATCTGTCCAGAATAAAACACCCACAAATAAGGGTAGCAACAGCTTACCATGAAACCTTTGCAAATTAAGGCAGTCATTACTGAAAGTTGTTACAGAGGAAGAAATACCTAACTTGGAACAGGCATTAAAAATGTATGGTTCAAAGATCACCTATAAAAATACACAATGGTTACATCTCAGCAGCAGGACTGTGGGCGGTTTTCACTTTTTTTCATCAAGTGTCTGAATCACCTCTACAGTCAGAAACAAAATGTAGATCTATTTTGATATTAAAGAAAAGGAATTCTTACGATAAATAACAACAATTGGAAAGGAAACGGCTATACGTAAAAGTTTTGTACTCTCGGCAAACAAAGGTTCTAAAATGTTGTGACTTGTGCATGTGATTATTTCATGAATAAATTAGCACACACAGTAAGACAAGATGTGAGGTCAGACTGGCCTGGGCTTAAAGACGGGGTCTATGATTTCTTACTGTGTTGCCTTGAGCAATATTCTTAAGCTGGACTTCAGAGTTACCCATTTGATAAAAGTTTTGTGGATTAGAGGAGGTAACATTTATAAAGCATTTGGCACAGAAATAGGAATACAGAATGTTAGCTTCTTTCAGTAAAAATATATTAAAGTGAACCTAAATTAATTCAATTTTGTTTATCTGTATGAACATAACAAATTCAGGAAAGGCATGTTTTTGATGATGAAATTCTAGTCGATATGCTACCTTTGCTGTTAATTACTGCATATGCTAGGACCATGGATGCAAATCTGCCTACCTGCTTTATTGTAATAATCCCCTTTATACCACATTAAAATGTATACGGATATGCATGGTGCCAGACTGGTGTCTCTACAATTCAGAATTATGTTCCTTATTTACCCTGTTCTACTCATATGAATATTACATTCTTCAAAGTTTTCAGATTTACTCCACTGTACTGATTCCTGCAGTCTGATGTAAATCAAATCCTAACATCATGTCTCATTATACCTTAAATGAGATTTGACTAGACTGCAGATTATGCAAAATTCAAATTCAAATACCAAATGAAAGAAGAAAGGCTTAAAAACATTTTAGACGCCATTTAGGCTTCCCATTATTGATTCCGAGTGGTCTCAGATCTAATACCTTTTCTGCCAGTTCAATATCACATAAGTCCAGGCTATCCAATTCTGACTGGGGAGTGGGCGGTACAGTCCGTCGACAGCACACCATTGTCACCTCAATGGGCAATTCTTTCAAAATATTCACCACATCTTGGTGATTCTCCCCAAGCAAAGTTATACCATTCACCTGTGCAAAAAGAGAAGTTGCTCGAGAGGGAACATTTCATAACATGAATACTCCTTTGAAATCAATCTTTTATTAAATAAATGGGGATTTTACTCCAGTGATTACCATCGTTCTGCTGTGCTCGGAACTACAGTCACCTACATAGTTGACCTAAAACAACTCACATGCAATTTATAGTTGTATCGGAAGATAATCACTATCTTCCACCCACATTTCATGTGCCAGTGTAGTAGCTGGGAAAGGGAGAAGTAATGATAAAAATACCCAGGGATGAAGGGATAAGGAGGGGATTATTTTACAAAGTGACATTTCATATCATTAAGCGATAAATTACAAAGGAAAACAGTACATACAGCGTGCCAGTATGCTTTTCAAAGCCGGGGGAAAGAATATATTCAAATTTTCTTAGTTATTCCTTAAACATATCTGGAAGACGGCATAGTACCAGATATAACAGTAGTTACTTAATAAAGGGTAATGAGAACTGGCTGGATTGTTCACTGCCCATCTTTACGTTTTTTGTGACTCTGAAACATGTACACGTATTATCTAGTCTAAAAAATGAAAAGATGTTTAACATTTTTAAAAAAGAAAGTGTTTATGGTTCTCTGGAATAAAACAAACCAAAAAATACCCAGCATGGAATTATGTGTGAAGATCAATGTACGTACAGATTTGAAATTTCTACTTTTGGTGGGTTTTTACTCGCATTATTTTTCTCAAGTACCCTTTGGAGGGGAAATTTACAATAAGAACTTACTTATTATGCATACTATTATTACACATTAAGCCCCCCTGCAGCCTTTTCAGAAGTTTACTTAAGGGGATAAAGGAATGGAATAGCTCTTTACTTCCAATAGCTCATCTCCACTGAAAAGCTTCCCACTGTGTCCAACAGGACCTTCTGGTAGAACAGATCGGATAAAGTGATGTCCCACTGTTGCTTCCAGACTTATCCCCAACCCACTGCTCTCACTGAACTTGATCACGTGGGCCACCTGAAAGGAGAAAATCATCATGAATCTAGCACTTTTTTCATTTTTTTCCCTCATGTATATATTTTATGTTCACCCCAAAACAGTCAACTTTCTCACAAAAGCTTCAAAAATCTTATTGTAGAGCTGCAAAGCTTTGGAGCTTTGCCTCTGAAGGATTATTGATTATCTGTCAGCTCTAGGAACCAACACAAACCCCGAAGGAGGAGCCAGGTGCAAGCACCCAAGATACTCTGCAGTGCCTAGAGATGCTGGTAACAGATGGAGGGTCGTCTAAACTACCACGGATAAAATCGAATGCCTGAGCTCCAACAACAGTATAGAAAAGACACATACCTAGCATTTAAACTATGTCCTAGGGACCGGGCTGACCCATTGCACAGATTATCTCATATGCCTCTCACAAATAATTCCAATGTCTATCCTTGTTTCCCAAATTAGGAAAATGAGGTTCAGAGAGGGTCCTTTCCCAGAGTCACACAGACAGCTCTAAAAGAATTTTGAACCTGAAGCAGTCTGAACCTGGAGCCCACACTCCTGACCTTATGCTGTGTCAACAACCGACAACGGTCTTTAAAAGTGAATCAAAGCTTGGGTCGCCTGAGCGGCTCAGTTAGTTAAGCATCCAACTCCTGATTTCAGCTCAGGTCATATCTCGCAGTTCACGAGTTCGAGCCCCACCTGTGGCTCTGCACTGACAGCGCAGAACCTGCTTGGGATTCTCTCTCTCCCTTTCTCTCTGCTCCTCCCCCACTCTCTCTCTCCCTCAAAATAAATAAATAAACTGAAAAAAAAAGTGAACCAAAGCTTAAAATAGGAGAATGAACTTCCTATTTCCCACTATTACACTAAATAATGAAGAATGTTAGGAAATCACCCACTTTCACAAAGAATCCAATCATTATAATATTAAAATCAGAAGGTATACCAACGATTATCTACTTTGGTCCCTTTATTTTACAGTTCAAGAAACTAAGGGATAGAGGGGCTGAGATTATTTTTTTTTTAATTAAAGAGATTTTTTTTTAATTAAAAAAAAGATCTCTTTCAAATCTTGCTAATGTGTGCAGGGCTATTATCAGAAACTGCATCATCCAATTTTGAAATCTGCTGGATAAAATCCCTCTAACTCCTTAAAACCCAATTTAAATGTCACTTCCTCTGAGCAGCTCTCCAGGTCCCTCTTGGCTAATGTCCATCAATCCTTCTTTCTACTATACCACTCCTCTTATGACTACATTTATTCTGTATAATCACATAGCAAACAACTTAAAGTCAGATCTATGTCTTTGTTCAATGAAGGCCAATAAATAGCTTAGCTCTTGCTTACAGCATGCTTTGCCCTTGACACATAACTGGGAGTGCTACCAGATTACTGGACAATGCGCATGAAAGGCAGCCAAAAGTTCAAGGTCCTGCGAGCAAGTGGTTCCTTAAAAGGTTCCCTTCACTATTCAATTACCCACGAAGAAGTGCAGTCTGGTTATTTGTCCCAGCCATGTTAATCCCAGCCCAAAGAAGGAATCTCCCAACTTTCTTTTCAGGCCAAATTAACCACAGTTAAGCTGGACCTTATTGTATTCTTCCCTGACTTGATTAGAACAGTAACAACAGCTGGACTTCTTATTTGTTAACCATCTTGAGTTTAAAAAAAAAAAAAGATCATTGTCATGAAGATTCAATGAAACACTAAGAACACAAAGTGCTCAATAAATGCTAGTTGCTATTATATGACATCTGTTCTTTGATCTCTTCTAATCTAGAGTTGTTTGAATATTATAAGCAATAGGAAAAATTCTACTTAACCTAGTATTTTATTTTTCCTTTTGAAAACCGTGAAATTCGCTGGTGTACATCTCAAGACTGATAATTTGGGTCACAATTGTTAAGTCTCTTTTCAGGACAGCGAATCATGATTGCTGTGTGAGATATGCAAACTGTTAATAAACATAAAACATTCACTGTGGCATAAGTGGTATGAAAAGAGAATGCAGAATTAAGCCTCTTAAGGAAAATATATATGTAAAGGAAAAATGTGGGAAAAATCCTCTTACAATATTATATATGGATCATGATGATTTTTTTTACCTTTAAGTAAATTCTGTCATTCTATTCTGATCCTTTCTCTAAATCCCAGACTTAAGAATAAAAACAAAAAAACAAAAAAACAAAAAACAAAAAAAAACATTCCTTTTGTTGAAATATTGGTGAATTACAAGTCCTAAATTTTTCAACCCATTTATCTCAGTTCCTTTGTTGCTATCCAACTTTCTCCTACCTAAATTTTTTAATACAGGAATCAATGCATTTCGGTCTTCAAAAAAAGTCCTGGGCATTTGCTACTTCTCTAGGTCTCTTTATGAAGATCATCTTTATTTTTGTCATGAACTTCCTGCTCAAATACAGTTACAAGTTAGGAAGTTAGGGAGGCTAAGCTAACCTACCACTATTTCATAATTAATTCCCATAATCCTTTGCCACTTCGTCAGCAGGGCAGCTTCCTGTTGTTGTGGGTCTTCTGTTTCTGCCATCTCTGCTGCCAATAATGGATACCCTGAAATAGTCAACACAATGACGTTAGTGACAAACTACAAAAATCTCCATATTTTAACATTCTATATAAGAGACACTGTGATCAGAACCTGTCTTTTGTAGCAAGTCTGACTCTTCACCCAGTATATGTTACCCTTACTTTTTATTAAAAGATAACTGACAAACAATATCCTATTAGTTTCAGGTGTGTATCATAGTGATTTGATATTTTCATACATTATAAAATGACCCCCACAGTAAGCCTAGTTATCATCTGTCACCATATAAAGCTATTACAATATTACAGACTGTATCCCCTATGCTGTACAATGCATCCCCATGACTTATTAATTTTATAACCAAAGGTGTACCTTTTAATCCCTGTCTCCTATTTTGTTTGCTCCTGAACCCCTCCTCATCTTGTATCAAACAGTTGTTTCCTATATCTATGGGTCTATTTAATTTCTTTTGTTTGTTTGTTGTCTAAGGATAAGCACTAGGGTAGATGCATTCGAATCATTTAGAAGCTTTTCCCTAGTTTGTGTAAAAAAGAATTTGGGACTTCTAATTCTAAGTCTAGAGCCTCTCCCACCCATCCTCCCACACACATATGCACATTCACAAGCAAAGACGTGGTCTGGGCCTTCGAGATGATCCCCCACACCCATCCCTATGTACTGTCTCAAGTTTCATGCTCTAAAAGCTTTTTATTCTTTCCTGCTACTCTTTTTTTTTTTTTAATTTTTTTTTCAACGTTTATTTATTTTTGGGACAGAGAGAGACAGAGCATGAATGGGGGAGGGGCAGAGAGAGAGGGAGACACAGAATCGGAAACAGGCTCCAGGCTCCGAGCCATCAGCCTAGAGCCCGACGCGGGGCTCGAACTCACAGACCGCGAGATCGTGACCTGGCTGAAGTCGGACGCTTAACCGACTGCGCCACCCAGGCGCCCCTCTTTCCTGCTACTCTTGATACTCACTTTAGCCTAAATAATTTCTTCACCTACTTGTATAAAAATGGCAGAGTGCAATTAACACATATGAATCCTACACATCACACTCTCAGGATATTACTGCAAACACAAATATTCTTTTAAAATAATAAAAGTAAAGCAAAATTTTCAGCAGAAAACAAAACCTGTTAATAATGGAGTAGATACTTTAAAGAACCACAAAGCTCCAAAGGAACTATTAACAGGAAGACCACTCTTGGACTCTGTTCAGTAGATGTAAGTTACCAAAGCACCTAAAGCAATCTGACAGCTAAGGAAAGCACATAGCTCCCAGCCTAAAAAGATGGCAATAATATTCTGGCATAATTATATATTAAAACAATGCTGCTCTAAAAAATGTTTAAATGCCTCGATGAAGTCTACGTTTATACTGAAAGAAATCTCAGAAAGGTTTAATAATTTCTCCACACAATTCCTTTCCAAACCAATTCCCTAATATTAAGATTTAGAATTTATGAAAAATTGACAAGGAAAAGCCTCCCAAAATAGAACGGTTTCATTCCTAAGAGCTTATGCTTTAAAAGAAGATTTTCATGTTTCTTTTAAAAATACTTCATAATTTTATTATTGCTTGCTCAATAAGATATGAACATGTCGGCTAGACTGAAGTAAGGGGACTGATACAAAACCTTGTACATAACTGACTGATTCCTAAAGCCCTCTGGTTTCAAAAATATGTAAGACAGACTGGGGTGCCTGGGTGGCTCAGTCAGTCAGGCATCTGACTTCAGCTCAGGTCATGATCTCACAGTTCATGGGTTCAAGCCCCGTGTCGGGCTCTGTGCTGACAGCTCAGAGTCTGGAGCCTGCTTCGGATTCTGTGTCTCCCTCTCTCTCTGCCCCTTCCCCGGCTCATGCTATCTTTGTCTCTCTCTCTCACACTCTCTCTCTCTCTCTCTCTCAAAAATGAAAAAACATTAAACATTTTTTTAATTAAAAAAATATGTAAGAAAGAACATACGACCATAAAATATGCCAGCTATAAATGAACTATTTTAATCTGTTAGAGAAATTAATCCTATCTACAAATAAAGACTTAAAAACATCTCTTTTTCTTTCATGATAGATTTTTTTTTAGTAATTTACAATATATCCATAGAGGCTTAATCACTTTTGCAAAAATCATTTCTCTAAAAAACAAACAAACAATAAAGAACGTAATAACCTGGCTCCAGGTGTTTACCTTCTTCTTCAATTGGTAATATGCTGGTGTTTCTACTCAAAGATGGAGAATCTTCATCTTTTTCATAATTTTCTTAAAGATAAGAATATTTTAGTAGTTACATCTATGATATAATCAAGCACATGACGTTTTTCAAATCCCACTCTATTTATCTGAACCCCTCAATGAGTGTTTTTTTGTAAGTAAACCTTTCAAAACAACCACCTGTACTTAAAGGGAAGTTCTCCTGTGACCTCCCAATTTCCTAGTACTGCAATGAACAGTATATGGCATAAATACCAGAATGGTCAACAGTTTGAGAAATGAAACAGCATTTTCAAACCAAAAGCCTGGCTTCTACTAACAAACTCTAACACCAGTCAGCTACCTGGGGATTTCACTAATTTTCAGAGATATTCATGTACTAACAGCTTATAAAAGACATTTCTAAATGTGTTATTAAAGTAGATTCCTTCAGGGGAAGGCTGGATGTTTAGAAACATGAGGCTTGCATACATACACAGCCCAGGCCGAAAAGGTTCCCCCTAAAGGGAAAGAAAACATGGCAATGACACCCAAAAGTAAGGCAGGGACAGAAGGATAGATGCACGTTTCCAACTCTGAAATGGGGACTGAATAAACAGGAAAGAAAGAAATTTGCTTTAATCGAGAGCCCATTTTATAGTCAACGGACACATCCCTGGTTCTCGTTAGTCCCAACTTCATCAAATTTCCGTTTTACTTGGTTCATAGCGAACAGTTAAGACTAAAGACCATTCTTTAAATAATTTCAGAATTAGAAAAACATCTAAGGGA